GGCCCGCCCGCCCGACCCGCCCGTCTGGTTCTGCCGCGTTCTCTCCTGCTCCTAATTCCTCTCTGTTGTGTTCCATCCTTCCTTCTTTCTGTTGCATACTTCCTCCTTGATTCCAGTGCTTTAAAGGGTGATGGGAAAGGTGATGAAGAACGATAGGCCCCCAAGGGGGGCACGATCGATGACGAAGAGGGCGTGGATCGAGGGTGCAGGGTATACATGTTGAGTAGCACGCGAGTAGATATGAACGAGCCGTCTTACCATGATTGTTGTTGAATTCCCATTACGTACAACAAGTACATGTGATTCCCAAGTCCGGCCCACAGTGTATTTACCGAGTGAAGTGTTACTCCTGGGGTCCGCACATCGTTTTGACAAGGGACAGTCCTGCGCCTCAGACTTGGCTGTTGACCCCCAGCTTACAACAACAGCAAAACCAGCAGCAACAACAACCAACATCAACATCAACCAGCCTGTGACGTACCCAACCAATTCCATCAAGTGGCAAAAGGAGTTGGCCCCAACACTTGCCAGGACAACGCCAGTGCAGGCGCCGTTATAGGCTGTGCATGCTACATGGGATGTAGCCATGTAGCACGGCTCACAAGACAACAACACAAGGACGAGGAGCGATTGCCCAGGCTTGAGGAGGACATGGGGGCGGGAACGAAAGGCAGGCAACGGACGCGTGGGAGGCCGACCCGTCAGCGCGGCAGCAGCAGACTGAAGGTGGCAGGGGGCAGAGGACGACGACGAAAGTGACGGGAAGAGACCGACGATTGTTGCTCTTGTCGGTAGTGCGCTGGGGATGCAGCGTTGCCGCCCGCGGCGCTCGACAACAGTATTTAATGTGCTTCTATTTGGTGCGAGAAACGAGCGAAGCCTAGCTCGCCCGCCAGCTTTCCCTTTAAGTGACACTTTGGCAGATCGCAGCCTCCCAGTCCAATATGAGTCTGGGTGGTGCTTCATTCCGCTGGACCCCCCATGGGCTCTCGAAAGTGGTAACCGTCTCGCAGATCACAGCCCCCCAGGGATGGCGAGGTCTGATCTGAGCCTGGGTGGTGCCTTACTCCGTTGGCCCCCCCAGCAAGCCTCGAAAGTGGCGACTGTTTCGCAGATCGCAGCCCCCCACGGATGGCGATGTCTAATATGCGTGTGGGGGGTGCCTCGCCCCGCTGGACCCCCAAGCAGCTTTCGAAATTGGCAACGTTTTCGTACATCACCCCCCCCCCCACGGATGGCGAGCTATAGTATGACTCTGCGGCGGATGCCCATTATGTTGGTTCCGTCGGCAAACCCCAACAATTGCTACATATTCGCAGATACCCCCTCGGGAATGGCGAAATCTAATCCGGCTCTGCGGTGGGTACCCATTATATTGCCCCCCCAACGACGTTCGGATGTGGCGACATTTTCGCAAACAGCAACCCACCAGGGATGGCGAAGTTTAATTTGAGTCCGCGGCGGGTGCCCAGTATCCTGGTCCCCACAGCAACCTTCGTGATTGGCGACCGTTTCGCAGACTGCACCCCCCCAGAGATGGCGAGGTCGAATCTGATTGTGCGACGGGTGCCCACGGCGCTGGTCCCCCCAGCTGCCCTCGAAACCGGCGATCGCCTTACAGGTCGCACCCCCCCAAGCGTGGCGAAGTCGAATTTGAGTTTGCGGCGGGTACCGCCGATGCTGGTCCCCCTCAGCAGATCTCGAGAGCGGCGACCGCTTCGCAAATCGGAGCTCCCCCATGGATGGCGAGGTCTCATTTGACCTTGCGGCGGGTACACTATGCGGGTCCCCCCAGCAAGCATCGAGACAAACGACCGTTTCGCAGACCGCAGCCACCTCCAGGGACGGCGAGGTCTAATCTGTGTCTGCGGCGGGTACCCACGATGCTTGTACCCCCAGCGGCCCTCGAGACCGGCGACCGTTTCGCAGACCGCAACCCCCCAGAGGCGGCGAGGTCTGATTTGAATGTGTGGCGGGTACCCACGATGCTGGTCCCCCCAGCAACCCTCGAATGTGACGACCTTTTCGCAGTTCGCAGCCCCCCAGGGATGGCGAGGTCTGATCTGAGTCTGCGGCGGGTACCCAGTATGTCGGTTCCCCCAGCAGCCCTCGGAAATGGCGACAGTTTCGCACATCGCAGCTCCCGCAGACAAGCCACCAAACCCCACAGGCAAACCACCAGGCGCACAGCGCACAGGAGAGGAGAAGAGAAGGGAGGCAGGGGGAAGGAGGAAGGAAAAGGAGAATGGAGGTCGCAATGCTTTATTCAAAACGAGAACCCAACGCAGGAAGGTTGGGAATAACAGCGATAACATTAAGAACCGTTCCTGCCTGATACTTCCTCACAATTCCACAATGTATTCAACAGTGCGCTCTCGTGCCGAAGCTCTTCACAATTTCAGCAGGAATCGCACTGTCGCGTGGGGCCTCATCGTAATCTATCCATGCTCCGCGCCCCCGACATTCAGGAAACACGTTCTCGCTTTGGACTCCCGCATGATTTACGTGTGATTCGCGCTGTCGCTCGAGACTTCCTCGCGATTCATGCAGGACGCGCGCTTCAGCGGCCCGCCTGCTCGACCCGGCCGTCGGGGCCCTCCCGCCCTGCCCGCCGTTAGGGTCCGCCCGATCGACCCGTCCGTCTGTTTTTGCCACTCATATTTCTGCTCCGGACCCCCCTCCTGCTAACCTCTGTCGTGATCCATTCTTCTCCGACCTTCTGGTCCGTTCCTTCCATCCCCCCTCTCTCCCCATGTTGTAGGGGCCGCGCCGACTACACGTGGCAGGTAAGGAGGATAGACCCCCAAGGGGGGTACGATCGAAGACGCAGAGGGCGTCTATCGGGAGCCTTGGGTATCCGTTCTGACTAAGACGGGAGCAGATAAGAACGAACACATTGAAATTGACTGCAACATCATATCTCAAGAACGGTTGGTTCTTGCTGATCCACCCCCCTCCGGTGCCCGTATTGTTTTTCAATTGAAGTGCCCCTCCCGGGACTCGCACCCTGTTTTTTTATATGGGAAGTCTTGAGCCTCAGACTCGGTTTTTGGTCCCTGGTTTGCACAAACAATGGTTCCCGCCTGATATCGCCTCACAGTCTATTCAAAATCGCGCTGTCATGCGGATCCTCGTGACAATTTTTCAAGGAATCGCGCTCTCCCGGACTTCCTTGCAATTTAATCATACGCCGCGCCCCCACCAGCACTCAGGAATTACGCTCTCGCTCTGGATTCCTTACGAGGGGAGTCGCGCCACTGCTCGATACTTCCTCGCGAATCATGCAGGACTGACGCTTCAGCGACCTGCCTGCTCGACCTGGCCGTGTGGGCCCGCCCACCCGACCCGCCCGTCAGGGTCCGCTCCGCCCGCCCGACGCGCCCGTGTGGTTCTACCATTTGTTTCCCTGCTCCTCACCTTCTGCTAATCTCTTTCGTGCCTCATCCTGCTCCCTCCCTCTTGTCCTGCCTCTCTTCCCTCCCTCCCTGTTTTTGTTAGGGGCTGCGCCAACTAAACATGGCAGGTAAGGACGATATGCGCCTAAGGGGAGTACGATCGAAAACGAAGAGGGCGATTATCGAGTTTTTGGGATACACATGCTGAATGGCACGAGCAGATGAGAGCAAACCGTCCTGACCCGATTGTTGTTGTTGCAGTTGTTGTTGCTGGTGTTGGTGATGTTGTTGCTGTTGTTGTTGTTGTTGTTGTTGTTGTTGTTGTTGTTACTGTTGTTGATGTTGTTGTTGACTTCTCAGTTGTGAGGAATAATTTGTGTTGACCCCCCCTCCCCAAAAAAACATCGCATTGTTTAATCAAAGTGCTTCTCCTGGGGCTCGCACCCCGCCTTTTTAGAAGGGGAAGCGAGGTGACACCAAACTGCACCTCTGGCCCTCCAGTTTACAACAACAAGGGCTCCCGCTTGATAATTCCTCACAATGCATTCCCCAATCGCGCTCTCGCGCGGGAGTTCCACACACTTTATGTAGAATTGCGCTCTCGGGTGGGACTTCCCCGCAGCTTATTCAGACGCTCGCCCTCGACACTCAGGACTCACGCTCACGCTGTGGATTTTCCTCGCGATTTACTTGGGAATCGCGCTGTCGCTCGAGACTCCTCGTGACCTCATGCAGGACGCACGCTTCAGCAATCCGCCTGCTCGACCTGGCCGCCTGGGCCAAACCTTCCCGATCCGCCTGTGGGTCTACTCGCCCGATCTGACCGTCTGGTTCTGCCGCGTGTTTTCGGCAATGCGAATACGGCGTAGTTTGCAAAGGTCTATGGTTTCGGGGACGCGAATATTTGGTAATTTGCCAGGATGTGTTGCCTCGGAAACGCGGATCTTGAGTAATTTACCAGGGTTCGTTGCCTCGGGGACGCGAAAAGTTGTATTTTTCTGAGGTTGATGGCCTCGGGGACGCGAACGTTGTGTAATCTAGGAGGGATTATGGCCTCGGGGACGCGAGGCTCACGTCTCCATGAATTCAGAGAACTCGATCGGGGCGAGGCAAAGTTTATCCTTTTTGGCTCCCCCCCCTCGCGCGGATTTCAATTTACAGTAGGAAGCAAAAAGCAGGACCGTAACATTGGAGACCTGCAACTCAAGCTGGCGCAGGGAGCAGCAACTTCGCCCTACAGCATCGTGGCCCCACAGCGGGGCCGACGGATTCTGGAATCGTCCTCTCGCCTCAGTGCCGACTACGGTCTTGGTCCGGACCACCACGATCCCTTGCAAACATACGCTGAGGTGCATATGCCCGTGCTTTCACCCCTGTCCCGGTTGCATTTTTGCTAGGAATACTTAGGGACGCACCTTTTTTTTGCCGACCTCTTATTCCTCGATCCACCTCTTCACCGTTGCTGCTGTTAGGGTGCTTTGCTGAGGTAATTTTCTGTTGCCTCCTCGAGGCCCCTAGGGACCTCTGCGAACCTGATACGATCGGTTGCCCCTAGGGGGAGGGGTCGGGCGTACAGCCTCGCCCAGTTGTGGGTGGCCGCCAGAGGACGCCTCGCCCTCCGTGAGGGTGCACGTCCCGTGCCTCTCGCGCTGGAAGCAGTCTGGAGCCTGCGGGTGGTGCTCCTCCCCTCGTCTGCAGAGCTGCGGCCTGGCGCAGACCTGTTGGACGGCCAGGACGACTGGGCGGCCCTGGCGGAGAGTAGAAGGCCTTGTTCCCGGTGCGATCGAAACGGTCAGGATGCAACTTTTGGGAGGCTAAATTCGGAATCGGCGCTGGTAGATCCCTGGTGGAAACAGGCCGAATCCTGGTCATTCCCGCTGAATCCGGCTCGATCCCATGTAATTCGGTTTAATTCCGCTCAGTCTGGCCTAATCTCCGGCTGAATCAGCCTGCTCCGGCTGAATGGCCCTTGATCATCGGGCTTATCAAAGCCATGGGTCGTTCTGACGAAGACTTTCCAGAAGTTGCCGCGTACGAAAGAATGGGTACGATGACTGGTATCATGTCTATGTCATTTTGAACAGGACTCGCTGTCGGTCGGTGTCGCCGCCGACGTTGTCCATTTGAGGCATAAGGCCGCTTGCCCAGCAGCGGCCGCTGTCGGTTTTGGACAACATTTGTTGTTGGACACCGTTCCCATTTTTTCCCTACCTGTTTCGGGCGTCCAGATGCTCGAGGAGATGACGCCATCGTTCGAAGGAGTAAAACTGCATACAAGCTTACAGCCAAGACGTTGAAATAAGGACCGCTCTGCGTTCAGGATTGGCTCTGGTTCTCGGGGCCTGTTCATGGACGAGGCTCGCCGCGGCCAGACAAAATAACCCTTCGTTTCATGTTCGGCGTTCCGCATGGTAGCACGGTGGCTGTAATCCGTCGAAGGTCCGCGCGGGTTCTTGTCTTGGATCGGCGCTGGACCCCCCCCCGCCTCCAGCACGCTCCGCGCCGAGGACGGACGTCCGATTCCGATCCTGGAAATCTGCGCGGGCCCCCGAACGTTTCGAGCTTGTGCCGATTTCTCCTTCTTCTGCAGCCGCACGCGACGGTTCTGAAGCCATAGCTGTCCGGCTGCCTGCGGCGACCCTCGCCACCGTGCGAGTTCGGCGGCTCAGCTAGGAGCTGAAGGCATGCTCCAGTTCGGCTTCCCTGCCTGAATCCTGTGAGGAAAATCGTGGGCGCCTCGTCCGGCGCGCAATAGTTGTATCATCTAGTCCTTACGTTCGCTCCGTCAGGTACGGGTCGACGTTCGCGCGGCGATTCTCCGGCGTAAATCAAACGTGAATCCGACGTACATCCCCCGTGGATCCGACGGGGACCCGACGTTCATTCTACCTGCATCCGCCGTAAATTGGTTCTCAAGTGCCGCGCGAGGCCTCCAGGGTTTTTTCCTCAACTGAGTCGGCATGGGCCTCGACCAGAAGCACAATCGCCTTGCACGGGTGGGGCGATGAATGGGGGGGGTGAAGAAAGGTACACTGCTTGTGCCCTATAGGGGCCCCCTGGGTCCCAAAAGAAACACGACAGGTGCACGTTTCCCCCCCCCCCCCCGCCTTCCCAGAGATCCGATGTATTGACGTTTTCCATGCGACGTCCCCGGAGGTTTCAACCCGTTTCCCGGCATCGGTTCTTCATCCAGAGTTTTTGTTTCCCGTTCATGGGGCCTGACGAGGGCTCCCGCAGAGGCCGAAAACGACGAACATTTGTCGCATCGAATCTTCCAATACGTTGGAGATCTGAGTTCACCGCCCCCCCATGCAGCAGCGCCCGACACGAGCGAGCGCCGCCGTCGCAGAGCCCACGGGTCCGCAGGGACTCCCGACCTGCCACGGCGGGGCAGGCGCCGCGGAGCGCTCCGCGGCGGCGGTGCGGAGACGAGCGGGGCGGGCCCAGTGAGGACTGAGGAGGAAGAGGAGGAGGAGGAGGAAGAGGAGGAGGAGGAGGAGGAAGAGGAGGAGGAAAAGGTGGGAGAAGGACGGAGGGAGGAGGTAGGAGGGAGGAGGGTGGAGTGAGGAGGGTGGAGGGAGGACGAGGAGGGAGGAGGTAGGAAGAAGGAGGGTGGAGGGAGGAGGGTTGAGGGAGGACGAGGAGGGAGGGAGAGGGAGTGAGGTGGAGAGAGGAGGAGGACCAGTGTAAAGCCACTAGTCATCAACGATGCTGGAGTAAACCCTCCCTCCAAGCTCCCTGTGCAGAGGCCCCCACAGCGGTTCATTTCCATTGAGGGAATTGTCTCGTTGGAGTATCATGATATATATATATATATATATATATATATATATAGCTCTCTCTCTATATATATATATATTCCTGGCCGTGCGAAGTATCCCGGTTGTTTCAGCAGGTCGTGTAAGTTACAAGCGAAAGCTCGTCTCGATAGGAACAGCGTTTTTTTTTCACTCGAGTCGCGTAAGCATGATGGCTCAGCTCTGAAACTTCAGAGCTGCTTCCCGCATTTTTCGCCTCGGCCAGGGATCTCACCACCCTTGGTCTTCACTGGCAAACGGCCGCAGCGGCTACTCACTGCCCGAGCCTGCCCGCGATCCCAGCCTGCCCAGAGCTGGTGTGCTCTTCAGGGTCTCCGTTGCCAGCCCGCTTGTCACCACACTCAGAGTGCATTTATCCCGCCGGGGGGGCGGGGTACTGGCTGCTGCTGGCTGGCGCTGGCGTGGCGGCTGGAGCTGGGCTGGGCGGCCTGCCGTTTGGCGCGACGGCGGGCTACACATTCGGCCGTGCGACGGCGCGACCCCGCGCCGAGGTGCGAGAGGCGGCTGCAGCGGCGCCCGTGCTTGACAGGCCCGTGGACGTGCAGGCGTTGGTGAGTTTCACGCCGAGCAGCAGGCGCGATGGCGGCGCGGCTGCGAACGCTGGACATCAAGGAGCCGCAGGACGCGATTCACTTCCCAGCGGATGCCTTGCCTTGGTATCGCAGGGTCTTCCTGTTCCACATCGGGGATGGCGTGTGGCTCTGCTTGAATCCTGACATGGAGATCGCGCGTCACGAATTGAACGGGCTGCGCCACTACGTGCTGGACTGCAATGCCGCGTTCCCCCGCTGGCTCCTGGCTGGCTTGTGCGTCTTCGACCCTGTGGACCCCCGGGAGCTTGCGGAGATGGAGCGGCAGGCGCGTCAGCGAGCGGCCTTGCTCGGAGCTGGCGACGCTCAGGAGGGGGGGGGCCATGGTTTGGGGCGTCGGCGATCCTCAGGATGCAGGCGGTCGACAATCCTAACCGGCGCGTGCACATGCGCAAGATGGACGTCATCTCCCTGGGCGGGGTCGAGCCCATGATCGCGAGGATCAACCGCGACGAGCGGGGCGACTGGATGCAGGGCCAGCGGGGGCGCGGGGGCGCATCCGCACGATCGGCGACCACCGCTTGAAGCTGGGGCGGCGCGACGTCGCCATCTGGGACGCCGTGGAGGTGATGCAACGCATGGATCTCGCCGACGCGCCCGACCTCGGGCTCCGCGCCACAGGGCGAGCTCCTGGCAGCTACCCGGCCGAGTGGGAGCGCCTGAGCGGGGTCTTCGCATGAGGCGCTCAGAGCCACGTACGCCGCATCCCCCTGGAGATCTTTCCGCCGCGCGATCTGCCTGGGCCAGCGGAAGGCGAAGAACCTTCATTGCGCGGGGGCGGCAGTGCGACGCGTCATCCAGATAGAGATGGCAGTGCGACGACATCTTCGCCATCTTGAATGCTCAGGTCTAGAGGATGTCATCGCGGGGCCCGCTGCTTCTACGGGATATGTTGCCGTTCCGAAGTACTTGGGGCGCGTCGTCGCCCGCCAGAGGGGCCGCGCGAACATCCTGAAGCAGATGGGGCCGCGCGCGGAGGGAGGAGTCCGAATGCGACCGCCCTGGCGATGATAAGGACAGGCGGCTGCGGAGCCGCAGAGATGGGAAGAAGGATAAGTAGACCAAGAAAGGCGACATAGGCAGACCCCCGCTGGGTGGAGGCTCGGGGGGGGGGGGGGGATGGCTCCCTCGCCCGGCCCTCGCCGACAGGGTCTGGCCGGGCCTGGCGACGGTGGGCGCCGTCTTGGCGGAGTTCGAGGCGTTGCCAAACGCGACAGGTGGCCTCGCGGCCAGTGTCTCCGCGACGATGTTTTCCCTTTGTCTGTGGTTGAAGAAGAGTGGCGGCCGGTCGGGGCCCCGCGCTCTCTGCCGCGCGCCGGCGGAGAATCGGAACTGAGAGGCAGCGGCGAGTATCTGCAGCAGTTGACGCTCAATTACCTCGCCGTCTCACGCGCGAAGTCAGGTTGCGACGAAGGTCGACGAGTTAGGCCGCGCGGAGGGCCGCCGGCTGCAGCGCAGCGCAGCGCGCTGGAGTCCGCCCAGGAGCGGATCGACTTCTTCGGCAACCTTCCATGCGAAGCGGTGGATGGCGAGAGGCCCTTCCGGGAGATCCTCAGATCCACTGGGGCCGCGGCATCTGGCCAGCTGCGACGCCGCGAAGCTGAGTGCGTGCGAGAGGGACATCCATCCAGCGCCTGTGGCGGAGTAGTTGCCAGCCGAGGCGGTCGTTTTGCGGCACTCAGGCCGAGATCGAGCTGGCCGAGCCTGAGGTTTCCGCGCGGGTCCGAGAGGCTGGGGGGTGTACCTGGGCCGCATTGGGGTCCTCGACTTCGTGGCGGCGCTGAGCTGCGACGTGATTTTTTCCGTTGCCAAGATCGGCATCGCGAGCATAAGGCGGGCGATCAAATCCCGTTGTGGCGTTTTTTTTCTTGCGCGTGGGAAACATGGGAACATCCGCTTCATCTGCGACGCGAGGGCTACCAACGCGCGCCATCGCCCCCCGCCTCGCGCGCTTTTTTTTTGGGGGGGGGGCATCATGCCTCTCCGAGATCGACCCGAGCACCTATGCGACGTCGCTCGGAGATTTTGGGGGGCGTCTGCGGGCTTCACTTCTCCGGGGCCGGCTCCGAGGATTCTTTCAACCAGCTCGCCAGCGAGGAGACGGGCGGCTGGTTCGGCTTCGACTCGCCGCTGCGTTTTGGGGGGCTGGGACCTGGACCTCCACCGCGTCTGGGACCACTCCGTCGGCGGCTGGCCGCCCGTCGTGGAGGGGGACTTGCCGCGCCCCTGCCTCTGCGCCCTGCCGATGGGCTGGGCATGGGCCCTTTACTTCGCTCAAGAGGTGGTCTCCGACCATGTTCGGGCCTTCCAGGGGCGTGCTGCCGCTTCTGGGCTGGGCTTGCATGCTGCTGACATCGCGGCGCGGGAGCTCGGGGGCCAGGGCGCAGCGCCCCGCGGCTCCGACCGCCGCGTTCGGCCGAGGCCGCGACGGGCACGGCGGTTTTCCTCGCCGCGAAGGCCCTGCTGAAGCGCGGCCGCGCGAGCGGGCCTGAGCTTCGCACGTGGGCAAGGCGCGCCGTGGCGCTGCTGGGCCTGCAGCCGTGCCTGCCCTCGATCCTGCAGGGGGCGCGCCGCTTCGTCGGGCGCGGGGCGCGGCGCCGCTCTGCGCTGCCGCCGCCGTTGCGAGGCGAGCTGCACGCGGCCGCGATTGCCTGCTTCTTGACGGGCGTCGATCAGGGCGCGCCGCTGTCTGATGAGGCCCACGTCTCAGACTCCTCGTCGGGCAGGTTCAGCCCGATGTGCGGGCGGAGGCCGCTGCGCGCCGCCTGGGGCGCCCACCGCTGGCGGGGGCGCCGGCGGTTCGTGGAGGTCGAGGCGGAGCTCGACACCGGCGCCTACGCCGCGGCATGCGTCCACCAGCTCCAGGGCGTCGCAGACGGGTTTGGGTCCACGCTGGATGAGGGAGCTGCGAAGTACGCTGACGTCGGCGTCCGTGCTGGCGGGCCTGCTGGCGCCTGGCGGGAGACTTAGCTGGGGCACTTCATGTTCCGCCGAGCTGGCGAGGCTCGAGGCCAGCGGCGTCGCTGGGCGGGGCGGCCTGGCCAGGGCCGCGAGGTGCCTATCCTGCCCGCCGCCCTCGCCGGCGCGGCTGGGCGGGCCGCAGCTGTTGATGGCCGCTGGCGGAGCGACGAGCATATCAATGCGAAGGAGGGTAGGGTCCGCGTGGCAGGCCTGAGGCGTTTCTGCCGTGTGCGGGCCAACCATGGTCATGTTTGCTTGAGCCTTTGCGATAATTTCGTGCGCTGCTGTTGTTTTGACAAAGGCCGGACTCGCTCTCGTTTTCTCATGTTGCTGTGTCGCGAGGCAGCAGTTTGCAGCGCGGGCTGCCGAGTGCGTTGGCGAGTCCGACACGCGCCGACTGATTTGAATGTTGCAGATGCGGGATCCAGACGGCATGCGGCCCTTGATCCCGAGCGGATGTCTCCGAAGAAACGAAAGCGGCAGACCGTTGCTCCCTGGCTGCCCCCTGCGTTGCTTGAGGCGTGTGTGTGCGTGTGTGTGTGTGTGTGCGTGCGTGTGTGGGGCTCCTCTTCGTCCTCAGTCAATCCGCCAGAGAACATGATTAGTGCACGCCTCTCACACCTGCTCCCGCTACCTCAGACGCCCGAGTTGTGTGTGCGCGCGCGTGCGCGTGTGTGTGCGTCTTCTTTTTTTCACTTTTTTCTTCGGGCGCCCCTTGTCGGCGAAGCGGGGTTGACTGCTGCAGTGCGAGAGTCGGGGTTGCGCGTCGTGGTGCTGAGCTCGACCCGGCACGGAGGAACGCGCAGTTACTTGTCATGTCTTGGGTGCACACTGAGAGAATATGGGCAGTGCACTTTGGGGCGCATCGTTCGCCGCGGAGCTGGTTCGGGGATGTCAGCGTTGCGGAGTAGGGCGGTGCATCGAGAATCCTATCACTTCGTGGCTCTGGTGTTTTTTTCCTGTTGGGCGTCTTGCGGGTCTTCGGGGTGCTCAATGGATGCGGTCCCCCATGTGTGCCCATGGTGCCCCTCATCAGAAATGGGCTTTGGTGCTCGCGAATATCCTGGAGCCCATGGGCTCGGGGGCTCCTTTTACCCATTGTCGTCGCGAACCTCTCGTGGGGAAAGTTCGAGTTCCTGAAGGTTCCGGGGGCCACGTCTGGTGTAATCTCACAGCCTTGGCGGGTCAGTGCCCGTCGGCGTTGCGCTCGAGATGGGCCCCACTTCTCAGCGAGATTGCACTTCTGGCAGCGCGGGGGGGCGAAGGCCCACTGGGGCGGCGAGTGGCTCGCTGTTCTGCGCGCGCTGGCGCCGCCTCCTCGCGGCCGCGCCGGCGGGCGCCGCGCTCCAGCCGGCGGCGAAGCGGCGGGCCGCGGCGAGGCGAGCGGGGCCGCCGACGGCTACCTCGCGAAGCGCGGCGCCCTCTTCGGCGGGACAGGCGCCGCGGAGCGGGCTCGGCCCAGGCAGCGCGGGGGGGCCCTCGACCTCGCCGTCGTTCCGCCGCCGGGCCTCGGCAACGGCCAGGGCCGCCAGCCGCCGCCGCGCTGCCGACAGCGGTCGCTCTCGCGCGGGCTTCATGCGCCAGACGTCGGCGGCAGGCGCCGCGCTGAAACTGCATCGCAGCGCCGTCGGCACTTATGAAAGGCGGTGCAGTGAAGAAGGCCGTCGGCACAACAATCGTACAGATGCTGATGAAAATGTGGTGCAGTGGTGCGCGTCGACGTTCTTTGATAGGGTGGCCGCTGGGACGGGTCGGAACGGTCTGTTCGGCTGGATTATTGTACGAGGCGATCGTTTACTGGATGGTCGTCAGCTATTCCCTCGCGCTTGGCGGCAACTGAAGGGATGGGAACGCGCTGATCTTGGTGCAGTTGGATTGCCCCATCCTCTGATTCTCATATACCATCGCTTCTGATATGCTGCGTCGGGGACTGGTTCGCAGAACAGCCTGCGTTGTGCTGCACACCGGTCTCTACTCGCGGCATTCGGAGGCGCTGGAGCTTACTGAGGCTGACATCCTTCGCAGCCTGCCCGCGGCAGGCCGCGCCTCTGCCGGCCGCTGGGCAGCGGCGTTCGCCCCGACGGAGCCGGGGCAGCGGACCAGGAAAGGACAGACAGATGACGCCGTGGACGCGGGCGAGCGCGGTCGAGAATCGGCGCCCGAAGTAGCGGCGGCGTTGAAGGACTCAGCGCTGCCTGCCAATTCGTTTTTTTATTTGCGACCTTGCGACTTACGAACGAGAGAGAGAGAGAGAGAGAGAGAGAGAGAGAGAGAGAGAGAGAGAGAGAGCGAGAGGGAGATCAAGACGAGTCTCCAACGTTTGAGATTGCAAGCGCTCGGGGGACCCCCCCGGCGGTCGCGCCACCCATGGCCTTCGAACGACAGGTTCGAAAAGGAAGCTGGCCATCAGTCAATCAAAAAACGCGGACGGTGGCTGAGTTTCAAATCGGTCACGAGATATGCAATGCATGCCCAGCTACTGAAGCAATTTTAGAAGCGCGCTCCTGCTCAAAATCGAAGCGCAAAGCATGCCGAAGCCTCTCTTCCTGAGAACTGGCTGCCCTCGCTTCGAGAGTTGTCGGCCTCGAGACCAGCCCCGAGGGATCAGGGGTGGAGGCCTTGACAGGACGACGGCGCGTGAGACCTTCCTGTAGCTAGCGCTAGCCTCTTTTAACCTGCTAGTGTGAGTGCTGCCTTCGCCCGCTCCGATGCTGATCGGGCTCGCCGCGCAAGCTCTGCGGAGTGTAACTTTCTAGGCTTGCGAGGCTTATCTTGCGCATTGCGCTCTGCCTCATGCTCCGCTGCCGCGTCGGATATTCCTGCTGGTATTCGGTTTAAGGGCCGTCGGGAAATTGCAATCTAAAGGTGCGTTTCCTCCATGGCCGTGCGAAACATGCCGGTTGCTCCAGCAGCTCATGTGCGTTACAAACGAAAATCGGTCTCGATAGGAGCCGCTGTTCTTTAGTTTAGAGTCTCGTGGCTCAGTCGTGCCACCCCGTGCCCCACTACCGCCCGCTTGGCTTTGAAAGGGCGAAAGCGCGTGCGTCCTCCCTCCAGCAAGCACCAGCTGCCCTGTCACCGGATCGTGCAAGTGCTGCCTTCGCCCGCTCCGATGCTGATGTGGAGCTTCGCAAGTTTTGCGGAGTGTAACGTACTAAGCCTGCGAGGCCTATCTTGTCTTTGACACTCTGCCTCGTGTTCCGCTGCCGCGTCGGATATTCCTGCCGGTGCGTGTTTTAACGGCCGTCGGAGAACAACCGCTTGAAGACCGTGAAGCATGCGAAGACATTGTTTTCAGGATGCCAACGCCGCGGATAAATTTGACTGTTGCGTCATGGCGATCCAGAATCACGTCAGAAAACCATCCCTGGGACTTCAACACAAAGAGCAAACGTAACTGTTGCACCTCATAATCCGGAATCCGTTCACAACACAAGATTTGGCACGTTGATGATGGGAATTCGTGGAATTCTTGAACACGTTGTAAACGAATGTGCGCGGCGCTACGGAGAGAACCGCATTTTGAAAAAGAGCTGTCCTCAATCCGTGCAACCCTAGCAAATTTGTGAAACGAATGCGCGCCGCGCTGAGGCGGGAACCACAATTTGAAGACAACCCGCCCTCAATCGGCGAAACTCATGCACATTTCACGCACTCCATGTGTGAAACTGTAGTCAAACTTTAAGCGTCATGGTCGTAAGTGGTGAGGAAATCTCAGGCGAAACGCTCGGCCCGCTCTAAAAACTGGTTTCGGGGCGCGACAGGGACAAGTTGCTTATAAGGAGAAGGAGTGGACCAGGAGGCGGAAGGTTCCGCCGACGCGCGCGGCGAGCTCGGGCATAGCTTGCGGGCGTCTTCAGGGGGCACCGTCAGGGGGGAACAGGCTCAGGGGGGGCTGCACCCTGGCGCCGGCCGTGATTCTGAAATGGGCCATCCGTGTTTCAGGAAAAGGGTGCGAGGTTCGAGGTGTTGGGTTCGACAAGTTTTTTGTGTCGTGCGGCCTCAGGGGGCCCGAAAACAGATCCAGGGTGAAAAACTTGGCCAGATGAATCCCAGGAGAGGTCTGGGGATCGATTTTCACGGTCTTGCTCTTCCCCCCTCGTCTTGATCGATTTTCTCGGGGCCTGTCCAGTTCAGCACTCCTGGCTGCCTCCAAGACGCACCGACACCCAATCGCCGGAGCTGCTCGCGAGCGCGGGGACGGCCGCGCGGAGGCGGCTAGGCGGGCCTGCCCTTTTGTTCCCTCCTTTCCTCTCCCCCCTCTGAGTTTGGCTTTGCAGGGAGCGCCCCTGCCAGGGGTCGCGCGAGCAGCTGTGGTGTCTCGCACGATGCCAGCGGTGCTGCAGGTTGACACACATCGCCCATTGATCGCCGATTTGTGCCCGATGGCCCCACCCCGCCAAGGACCGTGCGGGTTCGCTATCGGCGATCTACTGCTGATTCCACGTAGATGTCTCTCTCCCCTGAGCCAGTCCTCCCCTTACCGTTCCCCCTCGGCGCCGCAGAGCCCCCCCGCCGCGGCGGCAGCGGCAGGGGGAACCCCCTGGCCTGGAGGTTGCGGCGCAGGCCAGCTGGTCTCGGGAGCGCGCCGTCGAGGGCGTGCAGCCAGCACCCGGGGGCGAAGAAGAGCCCGTGGTTCGGAGGGGCAGCGCAGGATGACGCTCAAGGGAGAATACACATCGGGCGGGACTAGGACGTGAAATCCGTTTCAGAGCATTCCGGAACGCTCTGAGGTGGCCGCGGCGCCCGATATTCATTCCCCCAGATCCGCCGGATCTCAGAGATTCTAGTTTTTTTCCCCTTCCTGATGTTATCCTCGTCTTAGCTTCGCCTGAACACAGGCATGAAGAACAGCATAGGCTCTGGAGGGGTGGTTCTGGGACAAGATGTTGTACAGCTGCATAACATGATTTCCCGGAGCTCCGCGCGGATTTCTTTGACCGACGTTGGGCAGCCCCGGCGGCGCCTGGGCCGCCCCCGTCGCACTCCGCGCGCCAGGAGTGGAGTCCAGCGCCGATCCAAGAAATTCGCGCGGAGCTCGGAGAACTGATGCTTATGCAGTTGTGTGTTCTTCTGATGTAGGATTACCGTGAAGGGAAAGCACACAGGTGATGAACAATGTTTACTCTGGAGGGGTAGCGTAGGATAACTGTGAAGGAATGCACATGAGGGTGGGGAGACGATAAGCAGACAAGACAGGTTTCTGACGCTGAGTAATATTCCGGAGAGACAGTCAACGCATGTCATGGGCGGCGACCGCGGCGACCAGGAGCAGGCTTGGTCGTGCCTCGCCCTCCCCACTTCAGTCCCTCCTCGCCCCCTCCCCCCCTCATTCCCCTCCCTCCTGTGGAAACCCTGCTTCCTCGCAGTCCTCTCCTTTCCCCGCCCCTCTCCTTCCCCACGTCGTCGTCCTCCGCCATTCACATCCCCTTCGTCGTTGTCGTCGTCGTCGTCGTCGTCGTCGATCCCGCTCCAGAAGTGCCCGTGCAAGTTGTGGTAAAGTCTCTCATTCTTTTTCGCGATGTTGAATTTTGTCGCGTCGTCGGATCTCAGGGGCGTTCCTTAACCCCAATCCCACATGCAGAGAAGACTCTGAAATAATGACCAGGGTAGTTTCAGGATGGACTCTGAATTTCGGGTCGCTCCTTTGGTCTGGGTCGGGAACCTATTCGTGGCCAAGGGCCGCTGTGGCCAGGAAAGCGCCTTCGTCTCTTACTCAGCGTTCTTTATGGTAGCACCAGGACTGTATGCCCTCGCGAGTTGAACAACACGACGCACGGCTTTTTGGCCACCCTCGGACTCTGGGGGCCTTGGACTCTCTCCGCCCCTCCCTCCTCGCTCCCGCACTCCGCCGCACCTGCTGCAGAGGGACCGATCTGGCCAGCGACGCTGGTGCAGAAACGGCGCTCCGCTCTCCACCGCAGGCCAGCAGGGGCCTGGCCGCCGTCGTCGCCTCCCCCAGCCCGGCGCACTTTCGTTGGGAGCCGCAGGCACATCCGCCGTCCCACGAAGAGGGCGGTTCCCCCAGGGCCCCAGAGGTGGCTGGCTGTCCAAGGCAGTGGCCTTTCCCAGGGGAGAGGGGTCTGCCAGCCAGGGCGTATACAATCCATGCCCTCACCAATTATGGTCCTGAAGCTTAAAATCTGGCAATAGCTTCGCAAATAATGGGCGGGTGGTTGTCAAAGTGTGGCTGTCGCCCTGGCGCCGCGCACATCCGTCCTTACAGGTGCAAGAGCTTCACATATTGAGGGCGGATGGTTTTCAAAATGTTGTTCTTGTCTCAGCGCCGCGCACATCCCCTTTTCTCAAACACAATGCAGGAGCTTCACGGATGGAAGGCGCTTCCTTTCCAAGATGTGGATGTCGCGTTAGCGCCGCGCACATTTGTTTCAAGAGTTTACACGGGCCGAACGAAAGGGGGGGATCGGGAAAGGGGGGGTTACGAAATTTGTTGCATGCAGCTGGTTTCGGCCCCGCCGCCGGGCCAGTTCCTCTATACATGGGCGCCTCCCGGTGCCGGGTGGCGCTGGAAAATCAGCTACGTGAGTTGATTCTCTACCCTACCCTTTGATGTCCCCCCCTCTCGTTCCCCCCGAAACAGCTTCAAGAATTCACATGGTTAACGTCCCAGGAATTGTTTTGGAACGATGTCGGATTGTCAGGGCGTAAGAGTTATGATTATTCGTCTTGGTTAAGTCCCAGATCTGGTGTTCTTGCACGGTTCAGCATCGTCAAGATGCAACAGTAACGGTGACCTCCTTCAGTGAAAGTGAATATTTGTTTTGGCTTTTGGAGAGGGAGCTTGAGGGAGGGTTTAGTGTGACACCGTTTGGTTCACACTACTCGGCCTCATCCTCCTACTCCGCATCCTCCCTCTCCTCCCCCCCGTTCTCCGCTCCTTTTCCTTACGGTAATTCCTCCTTTTCGAACCCCGAGGCCAATCAGAAGAGCGGGCCGTGCATTTCGCCTGAGGTTTTCTCACCGCTTGTGACCCTGAAGCTCAGAATTGGGAGCTGCTTCGCGGATGGAGGGCCGTCCGTTTTCAGGATGTGGTTCTCGGTTTAGCGTCGCGCACATTATTTTTTACATGTGCAGGAACTTCGCGGATGGAGAGCGGGTGGTTTTCAAAATGTGGTTTTTGCATTCGCGCCGCGCGCACTTGCGTTAAAGATTTGGCAAGAGTGTCACGGATTGCAGGCGGCGTTTTCAGAAGGTGGTCGTCGCCGTAGCGCCGTGCACATTCGCTATGAGAAATTGCAAGAGTTTCACGGGGCCCCATAATTAATATGCCAGAAATAGCGTTTCTGAGCGCTTCCCGATTGCCAGGGCGCAACAGTTCCGTTGATTCGCGGTGCTGAAGTCCCAGGACTGGTGTTCTGGCACAGTTCAAGATTTTCAAACGGTTGTGCTCCCTCGGGGTACTTCCTTCAGTGACAATGAACCCTTGTAGGGGCCTATAAAGAGAGAGCTTGGAGGGAGGGCTTCTTGCAACATTGATGATTCGTGTTGGGTTTACACATGTCCTCCTGCTCGTTCTCCTCCCCTTCCCCCCCCGCCAGGCGGCAAGAAGGGGGGCGGCAAGAAGGGGACGCCCGCGCCCGCGCCGTCCCCCCCGAACGTTTCCTTCCAGGCGCCCGCGCCGCCGCCCCTTCCCCTTGACGCGACTACACAAAGGCGTTACCTGAGCAAGCTCAATACGATTCGACGAGTCTGTTTGGATCATGCCAAAGCCAATGCGAATACGAACGCCAGTGCGTTGCGATGATGTCTCGGCGTCGTTCTGTGTCGATGTGCAGTGCGCATTGGTCTGCAGGACGATGCTGTGTGGTGCAGCGCAGCGCTTTGCATTACAGCATTCGGTCTGGAGGTATCGGCACCATTTGCTTTGGAGCGGTATCTCAATAATACTTGCCCACGCGCTCTCTACTTCTCTCTCTCTCATTATCTCTCTCCCTCTCAGTCTCTCTGTCTCTCTCTGTCTCTCTCTCTCTCTCTCTTTTTTCTTTCTCTCTCTCTCTCTCTCTCTCTCCCTCTCCAATATTTATATGTACGTAGCACTCCGCAGTTGCAGATAAGAGTGATGGAGGCGGCGAGGACGTCGGCAGTCTGCGAGGCTCTGAAGAAGCCCGCCGTAGGCGCTATGTTTTACGAAATGTGCAGTGAGCCCGCCGCAGGCGCCGATTTTTCCCGGAAAGGGCTCGGGCCCAAGTATCTCTGTTAGATGTTTACTCCCCGAATCGACGGGAAGAGGGCTGGCGAAATTATTTGCGCTAGATAACGAAGCGGGAAGAGGGCCGGCGAAACTATGTTGGGGGATGTCCCGGGCGAAACGCTTGTGTTTCAGAATGTGTTGAGGATGTCTCGAACGAAACGCTTGTTTTGTGTTATAGAGTGTTCCTCTCCTGGGGACCAGACTTCAGAGGAGGTCTCAGGTGAAATGCTTGTTTTCACGTACCCCAGATCTTGAGGATGTCTCGAGCGAGACGCTTGGTTTCAGGTGTCCAGGTTGCCCAGGCAGATGTCTAGCATGAGGATATGTTGAGGATGTCTTGAGCGAGACGCTTGTTTTCACGCGTCCAGGTCGCCCAGGTTGTTATCTAGCATGAGGATGTGTTGAGGAAGTCTCGATCAAGACGCTTGTTTGCACGTGTCCAGATTGCCCAGGCGGATGTCTAGCATGAGGATGTCCCGTGGCGAGTCCCCCGGGCACGTCGCGCGGCGCGTCCCCTGGCACGTCCCGTGGCACGTGCATTGGCACGTTCCGTAGCGTGTCTTTTTGGCACGTCCCGCGGTGCGTCCCACTGGCACGTCCCCTGGCACGACGCTTGGCGCGTCCCTTTGGACGTTCCGCGGCGCGTCTTCCTGGTTTGTCACCCTGTCAATTAGCTCTGGGGCAGCTACTAAGTGCTCAGGCAGCTCGAGCTTAAGATCCAGATCGGTTCTTTCAGGGCTCGGATGCGAAAGACGGCTCGATCCACAACGCTATAGAGCACAATCGCGGCATAGCACATCGCAATTCAGCACGGCGCAGCACGCAGCACAGCACAGCCCTCGGCACGGTACATCAAGACCGATACACTCAACATTGCAGCTTGGCACCTTCCTTGGCACGTTCCGTGTCGCGTCCCGTGCGTGTCCCCCGGGCACGTCGCGCGGCGCGTCCCTTGGCACGTCCCGTGGCACGTGCATTGGCACGTTCCGTAGCGCGTTCCCGCGGCGCGCCCCTCGGTGCGTCCCCATGACATGTCCCCTGGCACGACGCTTGGCGCGTCCCTTTGGACGTTCCACGGCGCGTCCCCCTGGCGTGGCCTCCTGTCAATAAGTTCTGGGGCAGCTACGATGTGCTCAGGCAGCTTGAGCTTAAGATCCAGATCAGTTCGGTGTGGACTCGGATGCAAAGGAGGACTCGATCCACAACGCTATAGAGCATAATCGCGGCATAACACATCGCAACTCAGCACGGCGAAGCACAGCACAGCCCTCGGGCCCTCGGCACGGCAAGACCGATACACTCAGTATTGCATGTGCCCGTCGCCCAGTCAGAGGTCTTTGAAAACGTTGCCATGCCTTACATATCTATATATAGATTCCTTTCCGGGTTCGTGTGTCGGTCATGTTCCTCAAAGCGTTGTGGGTGGGTCGCGGGCCAGGTCGCGGGCCAGGTCGCAGGCCAGGTCGCGGGTGGGTCGCGGGCGGGTCGCGGGTTGGGTTGCGGGTGGATCGCAGGTGGGTCGCGGGTGGGTTGCGGTTAAGTCGCGAATGAATCGCGTGTGGGTCGCGGGGGGGACGACAACAACAATATTTTCAATGTTGTTCGTTCCTATCTGCTCGAGTGTCATGCAACGTACAGGTCCTAAACCCTCGATACCCGCCCTCTCCTTCTTCGATCGTACCCCTTTCGGGGCGTATATCTTTCATCCCTGCAGGCCAGGCCCCGACACGCGGCGGGGCGGCCGCGGACCGTCGGCTTGGCCAGCGGCGGCGCTGATCGGCGGCAGCCCGACCCCAAGAGGACGGACAGGGACCGACCACGACGACGACGACGATGACGACGACGATCGAAAGCGAAAGCGAGAGCGAGAGCGAGAGCGACAGCGGGGCCACGAAGAGCAGGAATGGGGCCAGGAAGCACCGGGCGCGTTGCACTATTTGCAAAGTGCCTAATCACAAGCGCCCGGACAAAAAACACATGTCTGCTTCGATGTAGTTTATCGTGGATCCCCCGCGAGTACCTACTTCGCGAGTAGTGGAAAGCGCTCGCCTAACGAAGGGCGACAGCGGGGCCACGAAGGGCATGCGTATGGGGCCACGAAGGGCGCGAGCGAGCGGGGGCCACGATGGGCAGATAATGCGGGGCCGCAGTGAGCGACGACGGGGCAACTGAGGGTAGCAACGGGGCCACGCAGGGCAGCGATGGGGCCGCGAAGGGCGAAAGCGGGGCCCCGAAGGGCATGCGTATGGGGCCACGACGGGCGCGAAGGAGCGGGGCAACGAAGGGCATAAATATTTCGGGGCGCAGAGGGACAGGAAGGGGCCAGCGAGGGCAGCAGCGGGGAGACGAAGGGCAGCAATGGGGGTCACGAGGGGAAGCAGCGGGGCCGCGAGGGAAGCAGCGGGGCCGCGAGGTACGTGCACATGCGACCACGACGGGCGCGAAGGGCCCACGAAGGGCAGCGAGGGGGCCACGAAGGGCTGCAACGGGGCCACGAAGGGCAGTGAGGGGGCAACCAAGGACTACAACGGGGCCTCGAAGAGCAGCGAGGACGCCACGAAGGTCAGCGAGGGACCCACGAAGGGCTGCAACGGGTCCACGAAAGCCAGCGGTGGTGGCCACCAAGGGTTGCAACGGGGCCACGAAGGGCAGTGAGGGGGCCGCGAAGGGCTGCAACGCGCCCGTGAAGGACAGCGAGGGGGCCACTAAGGGCTGCAACGGGGCCACGAAGGGCAGCGACATCCCGATTCCGAAATGTTTTGCGAGGGAGCACTTAGCGTGAGCGCGACTCCTGGGTGCCTGAGTGTCGGGAGCGCGGCGCTTGAGTAAATTGTGGGGAAATCCAACGCAAGAGCGCGATTCTAAAGTACACTGCAAACGAATCCCCAGCGAGAGAGCGAGTCCAGAGCGCCGAGAGGGCGATTCCTGAATACATTGCAAGGGGGTCCCAAGCGAGAGCGCGACTCCTGAGTACAATGCGAGGGGATCTCAGATGGAGGCGGGGGTCCTGGTTAAGTTGTGAGGTAGTCTCTGGCGGGAACCGTTGCTGTTGTTGTTGTACTTTGGGGGGGCCAATAACCCAATTTGGATACCGTGCTTTCCCGGGGGAAAAACTGGGTGCGAACCCCGGAGAGAAGCACTTCAATCGAATAAACACAATGGTCACCAGAGGAGCGGACCAACACTGATTATTGGGCTGTAGTGTTAATTTAGCAACAAGAGCAAAAAACACACCAACATTAATCATAACAACGCAAAAAGTCAGTTTGAGATTGTTCAGTTCGCTCCTATTTGCGCGCGTGCCAATCAACACGTATATCCCAAACCCTCGGCACCCGCCCTTTTTTCCGTCTTCAATCGTATCCTTTTAGGGGCTGATGTTTTATTTGTAACGTGTATTTCGTGCAGCCCCTAAGGCAGGGGAAAAGGATTGATGGAAGGAAGGGACCAAGGGGAAGGAGGAGGATGGAACACGAGAGCCAAGCGATCGTAAACATGGATTACGTTGGCGTGGATTAGCGACGGGTCCCGCTTCCATGGGAAATCGCGGGCTTCCGCCGCCGAGCGAGGCGACACCGGCCGCATTTTGGGGAGGTGACCTCCCCCGATCCATCCATGGATTTGGCGACCGCGCGCCAAATCCATGGATCGCAAATCCATGCTTGCGCGCCCCCGAGAGAGAGAGAGAGAGATAGAGAGAGAGAGAGAGAGTAGCAGGAAGAGGGTCAGGAACAGGAAGCAGTTGGCTGAACCTAACGGGCAGATCGGGCGGGTAGACCCTGATGGGCGGGTCGGGAAGGCGGGCCCGGTCTTGCGGGTTGCTGAAACATGCGTTCTGCATGCATCGCGGGGAAGGTTCGTGCGAGATCACGATTCCTAAGCACATCGCGAGAAAAGGCCAAAACGACATCTACATTCCTGAGTGTTGAGGGCGCGGCGTCGGAACATATTGCCAGGGATTCCCACGCGAGAGCGCGAATCCTGCATAGATTGTGAGGACGTCCCGCGCGAGAGCGAAGTATCAGGCGGGAGCCGTTGTTGTTGTAATTCGGGGGCCTCGGGCCGAATAAACAGGGTGCGAGCCCCAGGAGAATCACTTGAATTGAAAAACACACTGTGGCCCAGAGGGGAGGGATAAACACACTTATTGCTCGCAGTCCTCCTTCCTCTCTTCCGTTCTCCTCCGCCTCCGTTTTTCCATTGCCACAATCCCCTCCCTCCTCTCCTTCTCCCTCCTGTATCCCTCCCCTCGTCGTTCTTTCCTCATTCCCCAGACCTCCGACGCTTTGCTTTTGCACAACGGTGCCCTCTGAGTTCTCGACCTTTCCCCTGGCAGCGGCATTTTATTTCGAACCGCCATTGGATTCTCAGGGCCGATCCGCCGAGGCGCCCGACAGGGGTATGAAGACCAGGGGCGTGTGGATGTCGTGGCTGGGGCCACGAAGTCCCCCAGATCTCACGGCCTCCTCTGTTTTTTTCGACGTGTTCCCTGTCCCTCCCTCCTCTGCGCACATGCCTCGGGCCATGATGCGCTGACTCGCCTCTTCGTGGCCTCACCCTCCGGCGCACCCGAAGACAGAACACGTCATATACCGCGCGGTAACCTCGAAATCACCGTCCGTCGCCGACTGGCTTTGGGATCTCGGAGGCCCCAGCCGCTTGAGATATATTTGTGGAGAGCGACCCGAGTCTCAAACCGTGCAGTCACTTCGAACCACGTTGACTCACCACACGATGTGTTCACCGCGCCGTTTGGGGCCCCCAAATTTCTCACGCCGCGAAGGGTTGTCTGGGCCCCCTCGCTGCCCCGCCCTCAGGGCGCCGACATCGCCGAGGACAAGGAGAACGTCGAGGAGCCTCCTCCGTCTGCGAAGGAGGAGGAACGGAACGGATTGGAACGATTGCGATCCTCAGTATCGACGACGCTTACGACGAACCACTGCCGCCCCCTGCCTCTTGGAAACGCCTATGTGACCCAACGTTGGACCGAAGTCTTGCCCAGCTATTGGGCTACGGGCGCTCCCAGACGTTGTGAAACCATCTGGGTGATCTGGCCGGATCCCCCATCCAAACCGACCTGACCGGGCTCCCGGGGGAGGGGTTTGAGGAGAGGCCGATCTTGACGTGTTCCTCAGGTTCGGTTTCTGCGGCATGCTACCGGTCCACGGGGCCACCATACATAGATCCATAAGGAACAGATGCCCCAGAGGAGGTGGTCGGGAGCCTTTTGAGAAAGCCCGCCCCTTTTTACTTCCTCCTGTCTGGGCGCGCCGCCAATGAGAGGGGAGTAGGCGACGCGGGATGAGGGAGGAACGATCAAGGATCCACGCTCGAGGGTCGAGGTTTCTGGGGGTTTCTTAGGCTGTTTCGGCCTCTGCGAGCGCCCTCGTCGCCACAGCGCGATCCGTCGCGAAGTTTTTCAGGAATCGATGGCGGCCCCGAAGGTTCCAAAAGGCACAAACGCGTCCAGAGTCTGGGATCCTCGATTCTCGCCCTCTTTCGCCCCTCTTCCAGCCTGTGACCGTCGTAATCGGTGTCGTTGCCCTCCGCAAGGACCCTGGCGAGAACGGCGGGGGCAGCGCTCTACTGAGCATGCTCAAGGCAACGCCCCTGTGGACTCCTTATTCCCCTCGTCTTCGTCGCCGTCCTGGTCCATCTCATCGTCGTCCTCCTCCTCGTCCTCCTCCTTCGTCCTCGTCACCCTCCTCCTTGCCCTCGCTGTTTCGCCGCCCTACCTACCATCCTATCTTCCCCAGTCCCACTGCGGCCCTCACTCAGGACGCCATTAGTTATCAGCCTTTGATCCTCGAATCCCCCTCCTTGTCCTCGTCGCTGTCAACCGCTGACTATCGAATGTCGAGGTTATCGGATGCGTTTAGGTCCTTTTTTGGGCCTCACTCGCCTTCGCTGGGCTCTCCTTGTCCTCTGCTCCGTCCTGGCCCTCCTCGTCCTCCTCATTGCTGTCTCTGTAACAAGTCCCTTTTCCTCATCGTTCCGCCCTCCCCTCTCCTCTCCCTCTCTTCAACTGAAGAGTCCAGGGGGCATGTAAGGAAGGTCGCGTCGGCCATGGGTTGGAGGAGGATTGGGGAGGAGGAGGAGGAGAATGAGGAGAGGGAGTAGGAGGAGGAGGAAAAGGAGGAGGGGGAGGAGAAGGAGGGGGAGGAGGAGGAGGAGGGGGAGGAGGATGAGGCAGGAGGAGGAGGGGGAGGGGGAGGAGGGAGGAGCAGGAGGATGACTGATGAATTGCAAGAGCACGGGCAGGGGAAGATGAGGAGCAGAAGGTTGAGGAGGAGGTGGAGGGGATGGCTGCGTAATTGATAAGCCCAGGGCCACCAGCCTGAGCCTGAGCAGAGGGTGGAGGAGGGCGAGAAGGGGGAGCAGGGAGGATGAGAGGACGAGAAGAACGAGGAGGAGAGGGCGAGGAGGACGAGGAGAGGGAGGAGGAGGAGGACCAGAAACATGAAGTGCAAACAACGCAGGGGATGATGATGATGGTGATGATGATGGTGATGATGACGATGGTGTTGATGATGAGTATGATGATTATGATTATGGGCATGTGATGATGCAGATGTTGATTATGCTGATGATGGTGATGACGATGCTGATGATTCTGCTGATGGTGATGCTGATTGTGCTTGTAATAGTGATCATTGTACTTATAATGCTGATGATGATGATGATTATGCTGATGATTGTGATGGTGGTGATGGTAATGGTGGTAATGATGATGGTGGTGATGATGTTGTGAATGGTGGTTGTCATGGTGATGATGATGATGATGATCATGATCATGATCATGATTAGGAGTATGCTGATAGTGGTGATGCTGATCATGATTATGAGTCTGGCTTTAGTGATAATGATGCTGCTGATGATGTGATGATGATGTTGATGATGCTGATGATGGTGATGGTGGTTACGGGGTACCATGGTGGTGATGATGATGACGATTATGCTGATGATGCTGTTGTTGGTGGTGGTGATGGTGATGGTGATGGTGATTGTGATGATCATGATGCTGATGACGAGGATGCTGAGCATGCTGGTGTTGTGTTGGTGGTGAAGAGGGAGATGGTTGTAGTGATGGTGATGATGAGAAGGATAAGGATGAGGATGCTGCTGCATATGCTGATGGTTGCGATGGTGATGGTGATGATGATGGTGGCACTGCTGATGACGAGGGTGGTGATGGTGGAGATGATGCTGTTGTTGTTGATGATTCTGCTTGCGACGACGACGATGACGACGCTGGTGCCGATGATCATGTGCACGAAGTGGGTTATGGAGGATGATTTTGATGAGGAGGGTAATGATGATGACGATGATGATACTGATGATGCTGATACTGGGTGAGGATGATGATGCTAACGATGATGGACATGATCGTGAGCATGACTATCATGCTGAAACTGATGATGCGGATGATGATGATGAGAATGTGCTGACGACGACCATGGTGATGGATGGTAACGATGATGACGATGATGCTGATGTTGATGGTGATGATGGTGATGATGATGATGATGGTGATGATACTGCTGCTGATGATGATGATGCTACTGACGATGATTGTGATGCTGATGCTGATGCTATTGATGATGAGGATGATGATGATGGTGGTGGTGGCTGTGATGATGATGGCGATGGTTAGCCTGCTCCTGCTGATGCTGATGCTGATGCTGATGCTGCTGGCCATGATAAAGTTGCTGACAATGACGATGACGATTCGGCTGATGATGATGATGCGGATGAGGATGAGGATGCTGAGACGAGGAGGATGCGAAGGAGGAGGAGGGAGGGGGAGGAGGAGGGGGAGGAGGAGGAGGAGCAGGAGGAGGAAGTCAGGGGATGCTGATGCTGATGATGACGATGCTGATGATTATGGTCATGGGCATATTGATGATGATGCAGATGCTGATGTTGTTGGTGATGATGATGATTCTGATCATTATTTTGGGCATAGTGGTGACGATGCTGATGATGCTGCTGGTGATGTTGCTGATGGTGCTGAGGCTGATTATGCTTGTGAGCAGCGTGATGATGCTGCTGATGATTATGGTGTTGATGATGATGATGATGATGATGATGATGATGATGATGATGATGATGATGACGGTGTGGTGGTGATGATTATGCTGCTGGTAATGATCATGATGCTGATGATGACGATGCTATTGATGACGATGATGTTGATGATTATGATGATGCTGATGGTGATGATGATGCTGATGATGATGATGATGATGATACTGATGATGGTGAGTCTGATACTGAGGGTGATGATGACGATGATGCGAATGAGGATGCTGCTGCTGATGATGATGATGCTGATGCTGATGGTGGTGATGATGATGATTCTGATGATTAGTTTGGGCATAGTGGTGACGATGCTGATGATGCAGCTGATGATGTTGCTGATGGTGATGATGCTGATTATGATTGTGAGCAGCGTGATGATGCTGCTGATGATTATGTTGTTGATGATGATGATGATGATGATGATGGTGATGATGATGATGACGGTGTGGTGATGCTGATTATGTTGTTGGTAATGATCATGATGTTGATGATGACGATGCTAATGACGACGATAATGTCGATGATGTTGATGATTCTGATGATGCTGATGGTGAGGATGATGCTGCTGATGATGATGGTGATTCTGATACTGAGGGTGATGATGACGATGATGTGAATGATGATGCTGATGCTGATGATGATGGTGAGGATGAGGATGAGGATGAGGATGAGGATGCTGAGGAGGAGGAGGATGAGGAAGAGGAGGAGGAGGAATGGGGGGAGGAATGGGGGGAGGAGGAGGAGGAGGTGGCGGAGCAGGAGGGAGGACGAGGAGGAGGATCACCAACGATGTTGGAATAAACCCTCCCTCCCCAAGATCCCTCTTCATTGGCCCCTACAACGGTTCATTTCCACAGAGGGACCTGCCTCATTGAAAGACAGCCGTTTGAAGACCCTGAAGCATACCAAAGCATCATGCTCGGTGTGCCAACGCCACGGATTAACCTGATTGTTGCGTCTTGAAGATCCAGAATCGTTCCAGGACGCCATTCTCGGGACCTTAACTCCGCGAATCATCGTAACCGTTGCGCCCTCATAATCGTGAATCATTCCAAAACACGACGTCTGGAACGTCGATCCTGGGAATGTTTGAAACTCTTGCATGGTTAAAAGAAGGTTTTGCGCGGCGCTAAGGCGAGAGCCACATTTTGAAAAGGAGCCGTCATCAATATGTAACATACTTACACACTTTGAAAACGAATGAGCGCGGCGTTCAGGCGAGAGCCGCATTTTGAAAACCACCCGGCCTCAATCCGCGAAGCTCATTGTAAATTTTGAAAACGAAGTGCGTGGCGAAGGCGAGAGCCACATTTGGAAACGACCCGCCCTCAATCCGTGAAGCTCTTGCAAATGTTGAAAACAGATGTGCGCGGCGCTAAGGCGAGAGCCACATTTTGGAAACGACCCGCCCTCAACACGTGAAACTCTTGCAAATGTTGAAAACAAATGTGCGACGCGCTTTGGCGAGAGCCGCATTTTGAAAACGACCCGCCCTCAATGCATGAAATCCTTGCAAACGTATAAAACGAAGTACGCGGCGCTATGGGGAGAGCCACATTTTGCAGACGACCCGGCCTCAAGCCGTGAAGCTCTTGCAATTGTTGAGAACGAATGTGCGCGGCGCTAAGGCGAGAGCCGCATTTTGAAAACGACCCGCCTTCCATATGTGAAACTGCTGTCAATGTTTTAGCTTCAGGGTCATGAGTGGTGGAGTCTCAGGCGAAGCGCCCGGCCCGCCCCAAACACTGGCCTCGGGGTGCGACAGGGAGAAGTTTTTTGTGACAAAAAAAGGGGACGGGAATGGAGGATGAGGAGGATGAGGAGGAGGAGGAGGAGGAGGAGGAGGAGGAGGAGGAGGGTGAGGAGGAGGAGGAGGAGGTTGGGGAAGAGGAGGAGGAGGAGGAGGAGGAGGAGGCGCAGATGCCGTCAGGTCGCAGGGTTGCCCGCTAGGCGCCCGCCGTGGGGATGAGGAGCGAAGGGGCGCCCACCCGGCGGCGCAGCGGAGTTCGCGCCCCCCCCCCCCCCCCCCCGAGGAGGGAAATGAGGAGAGATGAGGAGGAGCAGGAGGAGGAAGATAATGGGGATAAGGATGAGGAGGAGGATGAGGAGGAGGATGACGAGGAGGAGGAGGAGGATGAGGAGGATGAGGAGGAGGAGGAGGAGGAGGAGGAGGAGGAGGAGGGTGCGGAGGAGGAGGAGGTGGAGGAGGAGGAGGAGGAAGGAACAGCAGAAGGGCGCCCCACAGCAGTGCTTCTGAGCTTGCAGCGAGCGGGCGCACCTCCTGCTGGAGGCGCAGCAGCACCGGCCCCACCAAAACATTGTTATCCAGTTGCGCTGCCGCGCGATTCCGCCACCGCGCTTGGGCGGGCGGGGGGGGAAGGGGGCGCGCCCTGGCGAGGGGGGGGGTCCACATATCCCCCCTCCCCCAAGCTCCGCTGCTGTGACCATGTTCTGCCGGGAAGGCCAAATGCGCAGGGACTTCGCCACCTCGGGCCAAATGCGCCGGGAAGGCCAAATGTGGTCCCCTGACGCATCTCGGGCTCGATGAGTCGGGGGACCTAATTATTGAATCGCTTCGCTCTTTCCGCCGGCCCGTATTGGTGCACGGCTGTCGAGTACCCGTGTGATCGTTATCAATGGGGTGCTGCTGGGTCGTTTTTTTTGTTTATGGATGGCTGGCTTTGTGTGATTTCGCAGGCGGGAACCATTCTTTGCCCGCCTGAACCTTCTGTTTCGGAAGGTGGCGGCTCGTGAATACGATCGCAGGGAACAAGACAACATTCTGCAGTTTCCTTTTCTTCTCTACTTCATCCCTCCGCAGCTATGTGTCGTCGTGTGTGTGAGGGGGGGCGGGGTTTTGGGGGTAGCAGGGTAGAAGCGCGAGCGTGGAAAAGGCGAGTGGCAGAGGAGGAGGAGGAGGAGGGGGGAGAGGAGGAGGAGGTGGAGGAGGAGGGGGAGGAGGAGGGGGAGGAGGAGGCGGAGGGAGTAGAGGAGCAGTGGAAGAGGGAGGAAGGAGGAGAGTTACGACGGCCAGAATCAGAAGGAGTGTGAGGGCGGGGAGGCTCAGGAGGAGGGTGAGGATTAGGATTATGCCGGTGAGAAGGTGGAGGGCTCTCTCCCTCTCCTTTGCTTTTGGCAGCCGCGCGGACGCGGGCGGGGCCTTCTATGTGGCTGGCGGCGAGTTCCCTGTGGGGCCACGATCCCCGTCAGATGTGTGCTGAACTGAGTCGGTGGCCGCTCTGTGGCCGCGGGCCTTCGAGCTTGTTGGTGCAGCTTCGAGCGGGGCCTTCCATATGACCGCGGCCCCTGGAGTCTTCGGTGGAGCTCCCTGTGTGCCATGATCCTCGTCAGGGGTGTACCGAATCGAGGCGAGGCTCCCTGTGTGCCATGATCCTCGTCAGGGGTGTACCGAATCGAGGCGAGGTCCCTTGTGAGGGGTGCGCTCAGGGAGGTGGAGCAGGAGAGGGAGAAGCAGAATGAGGAGAGAGGAGGAAGGAAGGAGGAGAAGGACGGGGGACGTGGGGAGGTGTTCAGGGACAAGCGTGGTCGTGAAGAGGACGCCTCTTTGGGAGGTTTCTTGGGGTCTCTTGGGAGGCCTCTTGGGAGGCCTGGCGGAACGGAGCTGCAGGATCGGCGGCTGTTTTTTATCTAATAACCTTCGGCACATTCGCCACCGTGCTTGGGTGGTGGCTCGAGGCTTCGTGGACGTTCATTGGGATCTCGTTGGATGCCTCTCGAGGGTGTTCTTGGAGACTCTCGGGAGTCGTTGTCGAGCCTCTTGGGGTTTCTTTCGGGCCCCTTGTCGCCTTCTGAGGCCTCTTGGGGGCCTCTTGGAGCCTCCAGGAGGCCTCTTGGAGCGGAAGGCTCGGATTCTCAGTTCGTGGTCTCCATGTTGGGCCCCTCTTGGGGTCCTCTTGGGGTCCTCTTGGACCGTCTTGGGCGCCTCTTGGGCTGTCGTGGGGCCCTCTTGGGGGGTCTTGGGGCTCTCTTGGAGGCCTCTCGGGCCGTCTTGGGGTGGTCTTGGAGGCTTCTTGGGCCGTCTTAGAGCGTCAGAAACGCGAAAAGGCGAGGAGGCAAACAACCTTGCACAACCCAAAGGAAATCAATGGTTTTGGCGCTCTGAGGCTTCGTGGACGTGCATTGGGATCTCGTGGGCTGACTCTCGAGGGTGTTCTTGGAGACTCTCGGGAGTCGTTTTCGAGCCTCTTGGGGTCTCTTTCGGGCCCCTTGTCGCCTTCTGAGGCCTCTTGGGGGCCTCTTGGAGCCTCCAGGAGGCCTCTTGGAGTGGAAGGCTCGGATTTTTCTGTTCGTGGTCTCCATGTTGGGCCTCTCTTGAGGCCCTCTTGGGGTCCTTTTGGACCGTCGTGGGGCTGCCGTGGAGCTCTCTTGGACGGTCGTGGGCCTCTCTTGGAGGCCTCTTGGGCCGTCTTGGGGTGGTCTTGGAAGCTTCTTGGGCCGTCTTGGAGCGTCGGAAAGGCGAAAAGGCGAGGAAGCCAAACACCTTGAAAAACCACATGGAAATCAATGGTTTTGGCGCTCTGAGGCTTCGTGGACGTTCATTGGGATCTCGTTGGATGCCTCTCCAGGGCTTCTTGGAGACTGCTTTTGAAGAAGACAAGCTTGCATAGACATAAACTGTTGGAGCTCCGCGTGGATTTCTTGAGGGGGGTCCTGGCGCCGATCCGAGCAATCCGCGCAGACCTCAGACTTCTTAGAGTATATGCTCGGTGGCGGGAGCTTTCTGGCAATACCACTGCGTGCCATAAGATTGTTGTACTATCCGGCGGCGAGCGAGGAGGGACGCGAGAAGGAGAAGGCCTTCTCAGAAGGCGGAGGGGCTTCTCAGAAGCCCCCGCGCCCTCTGAGGAGTCGTCTGCGTCTTCAGGGAAGGCGTAGAAAACTCTTCAGAAGGGCGGAGGACTTCCAGGTCTTCTGAGGAGACCCGCCCCCTCTCACTTCCCCCTCGGGCGCGCCGCCGAACTTTATGACATGGTCGGACGTGCGCCTCCAAGGAGGACGCACCCGAGTGTCCTGTTGTATCGATCTGTGCTGCCCCCCGCAGACGCCCAGATTTCCTGCCACGCCAATGGCCGCCCCCGCTGGCCGCGACGCGCCCGCGCCCGCGGCCGCGCCGCCGCCTGCGGCGCGCCCACCGCGGCCGCCGCCGCCGCCCGCCGGCGGCGGACGGCGCTGGCGGCGGCGGCGGCGCTGGAGCGTTGCACAAGGGGAGGGCAATGAAGGTCTAAGCCTCCTAGATGCGTTCGGAGCAGACGGGGTCGGACCCCATCTGGGATGCCTCCAGATAGAATGGGTGGGGGAGAAAAAGGTGTTCCTTTGGTCGCACTAGAGGTGAACGCTGTCCTCCATCACATCACCCCCCCAACAAAAACATCGCCCAAGGCGCTGCGGTGGCGCGCCGTGCGGCGCGCGGCGCGGCGCGCTGGCGCCCGCCGCGCTGGCGCTGGCGGTGCTGGCGGCGCGGCGGCACGGCGGGCTGGCCGCCGGGGGCGGGAGGCGGAGGAGGGCCCCGCGCCGGGTCGTGGGAGTCGACGTCGTCGCTCGCACGCTCGCGCCAGCGGCCGCGGGCGCCATCTCGACTGGCGCCTCGAGGTGGCGGCTGGCTTCCCGAGGCACGCCCAGCTCGGCGGACGACCCAGACGGGCGGCTGATGATGATGGTGGAGGAGCTATGGCTGGGCTTCGAGGGGGAGATCATGTACCTGCCAAGGAAGGACCGCCTTCGCGTGCTGCAGGCGCTTTGCGTGGCTGCCCTTGCCCACAAGGGCCAGAAGCGCAAGTCGGGCGAGCCCTACATAGTGCACCCCGTTGCGGTGGCCGAGTTGCTCGCCTCCCTGCGGCTCAAAGCCGAAGTGGTGATGGCGGGGCTCCTGCACGACACGGTGGAGGACAACCAGGAGATGCAGTTTGAGGACCTGGAGGAGCTGTTCGGCCAGGATGTGCGCAAGATCGTGGAGGGCGAGACCAAGGCGTCCAAGCGGACCGCTGTGATGCGGTCCGACGACGCCTGGAGCGCGCTGTACCACCCCGCGTGGAGATTCGTCTTCGGGGCTAGGCAGCAGGGCACCGCTTCCTCCGCGGAAGCCGCGAAAGCGCGCGAGCAGGCGTACAACTTGCGCGACATGTTCTTGGCGATGGCGGACGACTGGAGGGTCATCATCGTCAAATTGGCCGACAGATTGCACAACATGAGGACACTGGATTTCATGCCCGCGGAGAAGAGGGCGAGGATATCGTCTGAGACGATGGCGGTGTTTGTGCCGCTTGCCCACCGTCTCGGTGTGTGGGAGTTTAAAACGGAACTGGAGGATCTTTCATTTAGGCATCTCTTCCCGGAAGAATTCGACCGAATCGACAGGGTGTTGGCCAGTAGACGAGCACAGCATAGACTCACCCTCGATGTGGCAGCCAGAGACCTAAAGGACCTGTTAGAGCAGGACCGAACGATGCAGGACGCGGGCGTACAGCTTTGCATCACAGCTCGCGAGAAGGGCATGTATTCAAGTGACTCACGCCTTTCCGCCAACCCCCAGCGTGGGCCTTTTGGAGCTCTTGGGGGCATCTGGGGGGCTCTTCGGGGCTTCTTGAGGGCCCCATGGGGGCTTCTTCGGAGCCTCGTGGAGATTTTGTGGGGCCTCTTGCAGGTGCCTCGGGGGCCTCTGGAGGCATCCTGGCTGGAAAGGCTGAACCTGTACACCCTCATGTAACTATACGTTGGGCTCTGGGGGAGGGAGAAACAGGAAGGGGACCACCCAAACATCTCACACGCCCTATCATCTCCTGCAAGCGGGGGTCGACTGCTTCATTATGGCGCAAGCTGCAGCGCAACCCAAAGTATCGCAACAACCTCGACAACGTCTCGGACATCATCGCGCTCCGCGTGGTCTTGGACGTCGACCGGCGTCCCGGAGAGTCCAACGAGCAATTCGACCTCCGCGGCAACAAGCTGTGCTACCACGCGGTGTCGCTCGCGTCGCGGTGGGACCTCGGCGAGGAAGGGTCCGCGTCCCGGTGGAATCCTGACGTCACACCGCGGCTCGCCGCCGCGCGTTCGCTGCGCATTAAGGACTAGACTCGGGCGCCGAAGAAGAGGGGGCAGGACGAGGCAGGGGAGGGCGAGAAGGAGGACGGCAGGGGTCATTCCGACTCCGCCGGCTCGATTCGATTTGATTTCCATGGCTGCCGATTCGAACCGATTCGATGCGGAGATTCCGAGTCGAAATCCAGATTTCAAGTTCGCCCGATCCGACCCCGCCGATTCAATGTGTCAGCCAATTTCGAACGATGCCGGCCGACTCCGGCCTAAGGGGGCCTTGGAACGAGGCGGAGTACAAGGAGAGTGTCAGAGGAGGAGAAGGTACCCATTTCGCTACCCTTCCCTTGTGCTGGCCTTGTCGGGCTTCCTGCGAGTCTCTCGTCGCCACGGCTAGATTATCCTCGAAATCCTGGCTAGAACGCACTTCAGGAGAGATCAGAGGAGTATTGGTACCTACTTCTTTTTACCACCCTGGAGTGGGGCATACACTCGAGGACTACATCCGGCTCCCGAAGCCCAACGGGTACAGGCTCCGGGGCCGCCTAGAAACGGCCAGGGCCAGGCCCTCTTCCGCCCGTTCTTCCCTCCCTCCCTTGCTTTCTCCCTCGCTCCCTCCCTCCCTCCCTCCCTCCCTCCTTCTTTGATGATTGAGAGCGTGAGGAATCTGAAAGTGCAGCTTGGGTCAAGTCCGACGTCAAGTTTGCAAGCGCCGCTGCCGGGCAAGGAGGCGGAAGCCACCGCTATGGTCGCCAAGGCGCGCAGGCGGTGACGGCGGCAGTCTACGATCGCTTGAAGAAGAGACGCAAGGTCGACGGTCCCGCTGGTGAGGCATAGGAGACTCTTCCTACTGACGGAGGCCCAGGCGCCGGCAAGGGGGCTTCGGCGGCGTCGGGAACATTTGATGTACCAGTTGGTCAGAACGATCATGATGAATTGAAACTCTCTGTGGAGTGGACCTCGGCAATCAAGCTCGCAGTTCAGAGGAGAACGCTCGAGGAGCAGGCCGCCAACTCGGCCAAATCCACTGGGCAGGGGAAAGGGCGCCGCCGAGCTTCTTCACGGCAAAGGTGGCGCGAGTGGTGACTAGAAGGGTTCGGACGTGAAGGACGCGACTGGGACTGGCGCCGATCAGTCAACACTGGGACACGACATGGGCTCCTTGTCCACATTTTCTTGCACAGTATCACATGTATTGGCGAGACCTCATGGAAGTTGATGTCCAATGGGAATTTCGATTACGTAGGGGTGGTCGACGCACACGTTGCAGAGACAAACGCGTCTGCTTGGGACAAGAGAGCCCGTGGGGAGGGCATGATCTCATTAGCCAATTCAGTTCTTCAGCGAAGGAACGAAGACTGAGCAGGGGCGAGCCAACGAGGGCGGCGGGTGGAAACTCACCAAGGGGAGCCGTCAGGCCCACAGCTTGGTCAACGACGCTGCCGTCAACCCTTACCGTGCTGCAGGACATCGTCGCACCGACGGTTTCACGGCTCATGCACGGCTTCAGCGTCGCCCTTATCACCTTCACGTACATCCGTCTGTGGGAGTCACCAGTCCCATCTTGGCCAGGTACCAGATTCTCGGGGCGTTGTTGAACACCATTCGCATGCCCTGGATTTCGATGGGCGATCCCAGCACCGTTCTAGGGATGATGGGGAAGCCGACGCTTCTTGGACAGATGCATGGGCGGCTTCAGGCGGCCAAGGCAAACGTAGAGGCGACCTGCAAAGTATACCTATGGAGGCACTCATATCGATTATCATGGTTTCTCAGGCAGTGCTTCCGTTCATTGTTTCTATTTCGCGTCGTGCGCGCATGCGCGCGCACCGTGGAAGCCCCGCGCCAGGCGAATCGTCCACGTGAGAAAATCAGGCCAGCATTCGCAAACCTGGTGCCTAGACATGCCTGGCATGTTGCCGCAGGCCGCGCGTCCTCGAGCAGCTCCGGCCCCATGGTCCAAAATCAGCCGGGCGGAAGCAGCCGACGAGGAGCGCAGCAGCCAGCCCATCGTGACGAGAAAACAGCTAGTCGATATGTTCTTAGGTGATCTGCTCAGCCCGCCTCTTTCGAAGCCCAGAACGGGGCCAATCTTGGCCACCCCGAGGGCCATGGCAATGCGGATCTTGAGTGGGCTGGGATTGCTTCGAACGGTGACCCGCGTGGGCACGCGAGTGCGCGTTCAAACTGTCTGTTCCGATCAAAGCAGGCCTGGTTCCGAGCGTCGGCCCTCGTGGGTCTCGAGAGTTGGCGTCGCACAGGCCCGCTGGAATATTGCCCCGGACCCCCGCCCCCCAACGTCTCAGAGCAGCGCGTCATCGACCCCCAGCGGTTGACTCACCCTTCCTCCTCATCCACCTCCGTCCGCTGACCAGATGTCCAGCGCGAACTTTGGCTCGGGATCCTGGCCGATAGGCCAGGGCCATTTTGGATCCGTTTTTGGACACCAGTCTGAGCAATCCGCCGATGTCGAGTTTTGCTTGCCTGAGACCGCGCGACAAAGAACGAGGAGGCGTCGGTTTTATCGTCTCCAAGACTTTCCTTTACACTGTGGGCTTCTTTCCAGCGACGAACAGTACCGCAGCGCTCAAAGTAAAGATGGCGCAGGGCATGTGGCCAATCGTTGGATCGTTGGAACACGCGCCCCCCCCCCCCCCCCCCCCCCCCGCAAGTTGCGATCTCACGGCGAACGGGCTGGCTTCTACGAAGATCTGGGCGCGCGCTTGGATGGGATCAGCGCCCGGGGAATTGCAAATATCGCAGGGGGCTTCAACGCGAGACTCGGTGCGAGAAGGCCCGGGGAGGAGGCGCGGATGGGCGACTTGGGCTTCGGACGGGGAGCTCAAAAAACCGTTGAGGCGCCGAGCTCGGAAACGTTGATTGAGCTGCGCGACAGCTGGGGGCGCGCCGTGGCGAACGCGTTTCTGCCCAGCGACTCTTCGCCGCATCGTCTCTTACTACGGGCCGCGCGCCTCCCCCACGGCGGAAATCACTGAGGCCAATTTCGCAATGTTGGATTTAGCGTTGGCGCCTTTAGCTATGCTGGAATCGGCGATCCCCATCGAAAGTGACAGGCTAGAGGGCTTCTCTTCGCGCCGCTTTCCCGCGGCGGCCTGGCTGGAGCTCCGGCGCGCCAGGCGTCGTCGAGCGAGGCGGGGACGTCTTGGTGACCTCGCCCCCCCATGGCAAGCCGATGCAAAGACGGATCTCCTGGAGCGCGTTCGGGGCGCGGGCGGCGGGCATGGCGACGAAGAATGGGGGCGCTTTCGTGACAGAGTGCGCAAGGCCATGTCTAAATTGCCCGCAGCGCCGCGGACCGAGCACAGGCCGTGGATAAGTGGCGCTACGCTGCGCCGAATCGAGCGCCGCTCTGAGCCCCGAGCCTGCGGAGATGGGCCCGGCGAAAAAGAGAAGGCCAAGGAAGTGAAACGGTCTGCGCGCCGGGGCGTAGCAGATGGGCTCCGCAGCGCCGCAGCAGAAGGCACTTGAGGCCCCCTCTGGAAGCTGAGACGAGGCAGTCGAGTTCAACAGACCAGGCCGCGCACGGCGTCTGGGGCGGCCGCGGGCACCGATAAACGAGCCGACGATTTCGCAGACTTTCTCGAGCAGGTCCACTGGAAGGCGCGGCACGTCACGGCACTGCCCGAGACTCCGGTCGCACGCCCAGCCTCGGAAATCAGGGGGGCTCCTTTCACGCAGGCCGAGCTGAGGAAAACCATCGGCCGAATGGCGAGCGGCAAGAGCACGCGGGACAACGACATCCCAGTCGAAGTATACAATGCAATACCATGGCGCCCGCAGACGGCAATTGGCTGAAGGAGCTGCTATCCGTGATGAACGATGGCTCACACAGCGACCAGACGATTGGCCCGTTGCCAGAGTTTCAATGACATTCGAAAAGAGCGACCTTTCGGGCGTGGATAGCTGCCGGCCGTTTTGTTTGGCGACAGCGGCGTACATACTATTCGCCAGCATGCCGAAGCAACGGTTCCTCGACGCGGGCATCGACGATCGATTCCGGCACCCTCGATGCGGTTTCCGCCCCAGGCGTTGCACCGAGGACGCTATTTTCATAGCGCGGAGGCACGTAGAGTTGGCATGTGCCCACAGCAACCCGGGCAGCATCGCCGCTGGCGTCGGATTGGAAAAAGGCGTTCGGCAGCATCCACATCGAGTGCTTGATGCGCGCTTTGAGTCGATGCGGCATCGCGCCGAAGCACCTCCGGTTCGACTTCACATCGGCGTTTTTTTTGTTGACGACTTCGGCACGCAACCAGACGAGGCCGCAGCGGTCGGGCGAGTCGCAGGGATGCACGCTCAGCCCACCTCTATGCATTATGCTCACGTCGGCGTTGATGGAAGACGCAGTAGGCGATTTCGGATCCAGCTTGGGAGGCTCGCCGCAAAGGCAGTCTAGCCGATATTGCGTTTGCTGGCGACGCGCTCTTGCTAGGGGCTTCCTCCGCACACCCGGCGGAGTTCGCCCGCTGCGTCGCGCGAGATGGCTGGGATTTACGACGCGCGGAGAAGTTCCAGCTGTTGCAGTCGAACGCATCCAAGCGCATATTCTTTCAAGGGAGAACATCACGAGTGAGCGCAATATCGCGCGCTGACGCTCGCCACTTGACAGCGGGCGGCCGCGTGGGCCGCGAATTGGGGGGGGCGCGTTGGGGCGGCATCGGCTGATTGTCGGACTCTTCGCCGCGTTCGGAGGCAGCCTCCACCGACCCTCTGGCGGCGTTTCGCCGTCTTCTAGTCATTGGTAGAGTCCACGCTATTGCACGCGTTTCCGGCGGCGTGCTTCGCGAAAGCAGAACTTCGAAGTTAAGGCGGGTTTCAGGCGAGATGCTTCCGCAAAGTGTTCACCATCGAGCGGCCTTTCCTGTCGCGCGTCTCCAGCGCGCCGGCGCAGCAATGGGCGGGCGCCGAAGCAGCATCTGTGCAACTCCGACGCAGACAATAGATGGCGCTTGGAAGGGCAGTGCGGCAACCTCAAAGTTCTTCAATGAGGGGGGGGAACTTCCGTTCCAAGCGCGCTGGCGCCGGCAACAGACAGGCCCGTCTGGAACGTGGGCCGCCCGTGGGAATAATGGGCCCGCAGCGCCATGCCAGGCGCCATCCGGGCCGTGAGGGCAGGTCACCAGCTGCCCGCGGCAGCGGCGGGTGAGCTGCAGTGGCGCCCGAGCGTGCGCCGCGCCGTTCTTCCACAGCGATGCGTCGTTCGTCTCGCCGCCGCCCCTGCCCCCCCCCCTCCTTCGCCGCCCCCCCGCCCCCTCTAACCCGAGCTCTTTCCGCCGAGTGTCGCCGCGCGACGTGGCATTTCGATGCGCTGATCAATTTTCTGGCCCGACGCGCTGCCGGGGGGGGCGGCGGAATTGTTTCCTTGGGGGCCACGGTCTCATGATACATATTCGCTAGACAGGCATGTGCCCACGGGCTGTCAGAGCCTACGGCCACAGCGGCGGCAGCAGAGGCCGCGCGACGAGAGTGCGAGTTGCGGGTCTTGCGCCGCGCCAGGAGCGCCCCCCTTCCAGCTCTTTCCTCCCCGTCGTAGCCTCTTGTCTCAATCGGCCGTCGGAGGCGCAGGCGCTCTCTTCATTGCGCGCGTCTTGGGCGAGCGCAGCGGAGTATGCCATCTTGTCGAGTTATCGCGCGCGCGCCTCCCCCGCCATCGCTCGTCGCGACTGCTCTAGGTGTCGCGTCGATGCAGTTCGCTAGCAAGTGCGTCAGAGGCAAGTTCCCAATCGCGACGCTCTCGCGGGGGCCGCCCAGTCAAAGCCCTGCCGTCTTGGAGGGGGCTGCCATTCATGCGTCAGATCCGAGATGAGTGCGCAGTCAATTGCAGGCAGTTGCAGATTCTCTCTGATCTTCTCCGCGCAGCGAGCTCAGAGCACGGCAGTTGCGCGCGTTTGTCTGTGGAGTTCGGCGCCTGGGCGGAGTCGAGCACCGCCCTGGGGAAGCATCGACGCGGCATGCGTCGGGAGCCCGCAGTCCGCCGCGAAATGTTGGTCGACGGCCGCATCCTCCATCGGCCGCTCGAGGCCGCGGATGACAGAGCGGAGCGCGGGAGGAAGCTGTTGGGGGGTGCCTCCTTTGGCGCGGAGGCCTGGCAGGAGGTCTTTCGACGGGCGCGGGATCTCGCCGAGGCGGCGCCCCCCCCCCAAAACATCGCGGGGGGGCATTCGGCGAGCTGCGCGCTGCGTGGCTGCCTGCGCAGGTCAAGTGGTCGACCGCGGGTCACCTTGTGACTTCGATCGCCTGCCGCTTGCCGCCCTCGAGGACCTGTCGCTGCTACGCGTGGCCATCGAGATCAGATCGGGATGATCTTGGGGGGGGGGCCCCCCACGAGGTAGCCGAGGGCGATCGCGCGATAGGGTTGGCGCCCGGGGGGGGTGGGGGGGGGGCGCCTGTCGCGCGCCGCCGATCGGGCGAGTCGGCCCCTCGCTCGGGCGCGGAGGCGCGGGGCAGCGCAGCTCTGCGCGAGGCTTTCGCAGGGGCGCTCGAGGAGGTCGGGCGCCAGCGCGGCATCTCCTCTGGCGCGAGGGTGCGCGACGCCAGCGGATTCCGCGACAGCGCGACGCGTGGGTTCCTCGCGCGACGGGGCTCGCGTTGGTTTTTCCCGCCGCCATCTTGCGCATCGAGGTTCCCCGGCGCGCTGCGCCGAAGACGCCGGGGCGGGGCGCGCCCTGGTTGCCGTCTTGAGCCCGCCCAGACGGCGGTTCAGGGGCTCCGCTCTGGCGCGAAGTTCGGAAGGGTGGTTGCGCATGTCGCATCGGCGCGGATCTGCGCCCTCATTTTCGGATTGGCCGCCGCGCGCGGGCGGGCGATCTTCCGCAGCGGGCCGAAACATTTCGCGCGCGCGCCTGCTGGCAACGCGTCGCTAGCCTGAAAGGCGCCCGCCGAGGGCTCGCCTCCACGGGCGCCGCGCCGCTCCCCCACCGCCCTTGCGCGGCCAAGGTTGCCAGAGCTGTGAGGCCGCAAGTTTCTAGCCGCGGGCATCAAGATAAGCGGGGCGCTTGGGCTCGGGGCCGGGCGGGCGCGGCCGCCGCGCTTGGATCGTCGCAGGCGCATCTACGAGTGCAAATGCGCGCGCAGAAGGGCGCGGAGGTTGGCGGCGGCGGGGGCGAAGTTTGCAGCCGCGTCTCAGCTCGAGCGCTTGGGGGCGCAGGCCGCAGGGGAATGCGGCGCGGGCGTGATGGCGCACCGCCGTCGCTTGGGCGCAGCCGCCGCTCTGTCCTCGCGACGGCGGCGCTTCGCCGCATTGCTGGCGACCGCGCGAGGCCCTGACCCAGCTCTGAAGATGCTGGGGGGTGCGTCTGCATTTGGAATCGCGCATGGCATCGCGCGCCGCGTATTCGCTCAGGGGCACGTCGCATCTGGCCGTCTAGCTGCGTCACAGTTGCGGGCTCCTCTTTCCGAAGGGTCTCGGCGCATTCGAGAGCTGGTTTCTGCATTTGTGATTTGCGACAGGGGCCAGCATTCGGCCACCTGATTGGGCGTCGCCCGCTGCGACGCCCGATGGGTGAAACCAAGCGACAGTCCGCGTGGTAACTGGCCAGGCGCGGTCGACCTGGGGCCCTTGATCAAGGGCATTGATGAAAAACCCGCGGGCACCTTAGGTTTATGTTGTCGCGCACTTGTGCGGGGAAGGCGTGTGGGTCGGCGTGGACCGCGCGTCTCTACGTCGACTGCATGCGCATTCTCCATGCGGGAACAGGTAGTGGGTTATCAGAGCTTCTCATCACCTTTGCGACGGGGCCATCTCGCCCTCGAGCCCGTCTGGCTGAGACTGCGGCGGCGGGTGGCCTAGTAGTTGACCAGGTCAGTTTTGTCTGCGATGCAAGGGCAAGAGCGAGCGCGCGTCTCATCGAGCTCGGGCTGCGGCTGCAATTCTGGAGCCCCCGAACACGAACATTCGGACTGCCTGGTTGCGGGGGTTCAAACCTCCCTGAATCGGCCGAGTGCCTCTGGCCGCGGGTCTGCTGCCGCCCAGCCGGGTCGCGGGCTTCCCGTCGCATGTTGAGGTGCAAAGGTTTGTCTCAGGATCTGCCGTCAACCGTGCGCTTGCTGCGTGAGTAGCCTCTGGGACCCCGCGGCTTCCGCCGCATCATGTCAGGGACGCCGGCGTCGGCGAGCATTCGAGCCGGGCAAGTTGTCGGGAGTTATCGGCTGCGAACGTCGAGCCACTTGTCGTTTCCGCCGCTGTTTCGGCATCTTTTTGGGAACGGAAGGCGTTCCTTGTCCGATTGTGCCTTCTCAGAGCCACGGTCGACACGGTGGGGTGGAAAAATGCGAGGCGCTTGGGGTCGGGGGGTGGTCAGCCGCCTGCCCGTCATCCTCCTGCCCCGTCCGATGTCCAGATTTCTTCGCCAAGCATGCCCTGATTGCGTGCGGCCGCCGACGTCTCCGATGTTGTAGCTCTGCCACGAAGCCTGCCAGGCCGCGTGGAAGGATGCTCCGTGCTCTCGACTGTCCGATGTGAATGGGGAGGTCTTCTGGGTTCTGCGCAGGGGTGAGCTGCACATTGCGGGGGGGGGGGGCTGGAGACTCATCAGATGCGTCAGCGCTGTGCCTTCAAGCGTGGGCGTTGTTGCCGAGTCGGGTATTTTGCCCGTCGGATGATCAGCGGTTTTGAGCTCGAGTGGATCAATATTACGAATTCCAATCGACCTGATGATTTATCCAAAATCTACCAGGGGCAATGGCCCGAGGTGCGGATTTGAGCTGAGTTCGCACGCCGGGTTGTTTTCGTTATCTTCGGTTTCGCTACGCGGTTGGTCGCGCTCGCTCATCCCTCTGCCCATCACTTCCTCTTCGGCCGTTTGGCTTCGACGGTGGAAGGTTTCGGACGTTTTCGTCTGGTTGTGCGGCTCTCTGCAAGGCCTCCGAAAGCTTCCAGTGCCTCCGGGGACCTCCATTGGTTTGCAAGGTTTTCTGGGAGATTCTGCCTGCTCGCGCGCGTCCTCCAGGGGGGGAGCGCGAAACGGGCAGTGGGCGGCGAGGGAAGACAGGGAAGGTGCGGGAAGGGGGGGGGGTCTGGTGAGGGAAGTGGAAAGGAGGAGGAGAACATGGAATGATGAGGAGGACGGAGGGGTCGGCGGGGAGGGGTGAGAGGCAACTGGGAGTGGAAACGACAAAATATGGGAGAGGACGAGATGAGGAAGGATGGAGAGGGGATGGTCTGGAAAGATGAGGGTGTGATGGTCGGGCTGGGTGGGAGGATGTGATGGGGGCGATTCGGCAACGGTTTGTCAAAACAGGTCTGTACTTCTTCCCCCATTCACCTTCTCCCGCCCATGAGTTTCCATTTCGGTCCGATTGATCCGGCTCGGCATCGGTCTCGGTTGGCCAGCCTGGTTCGATTCGATTCCGATGTTCCAGCGATCCGATGCGGCCCGATGCTCGTATGAAGTTTGACGCCTCTGAGCACCCTCGCGCGGCCGACCCGATTCGATCTCACACCGTATCGTTTTGCCCCGATCCGACGAAGGTTCTGATCGGATCCGATCCGATCTGTTTTCTTGATTCGGTGCTAACTGATCCTGCCCCCCTCTCTCTTGTCGCCCTCCCAGCCCATCTCCCACGCATCAGGGTGCAACTCCTGGGAGGTTGAGTTCAGCATCGGCGTTGATGATCGAACACCGGCCTATTCTGGCGCACCCCCACATAATTTTGCGTAATTTTGGCTAGCCCCGCTGAGTCTGAATTACCCCGGCGGAGTGCCAGGCCTTGTCTGGGCTAGTCCGGCTTCGCGGCCCTTAATCGGTTCTGGCTGTTTATTCGGTTATACCAGGAATTCCCACGAACTGCCTCCTATCACTCCCCCCTCGGCATGCATGCTCATCCTGGTTCCCCCCTCCTGGACGGCGACCAGCCCGCACAGGTCGCTCCACCTCCTGCTCACCGGTGCCCCAGTGCCCCTGGAGCTGCAGGTCCGCACGCGCCAGATGCACAACGTTGCCGAGTACGGTGCCGCGGCGGGGAGACATCCCTCCTTGCGAGGGTCGCCCACCTCACCGATCCTGGCCAGTCTGATCCTGGGCTTTGGACCTGGCTTGGGAGTCGGGGTGGTCCCGCAGTGGTTCCGACAGGCAAGAAAGGGGGTAGAGAGGGGCTCCGTCGTCACCACGGCTGCACGCGGCTCGGACATTTTGTCAGTTTTGACCCCGAGAGGGGTCCGCGGACCGATTTTGATCGGATTTGTCTTCGTCCCCCCTGTTGACCTGTTTCCTCGGGGCCCTTCAGCCCGGGGGTCCTGATTGGACCCAGGGTCGGTGTATGCCTCTACCTGGGCCAAGGATCGGTGCCGAGCCGTTACAAAAGATGCCGTCAAGTTTCCATATAGCTGCATGATGTTGAGGAAGTCAGCCACATGAGGCGCGCTGCCGCTGGCTCGCGGCTGTCAGCGCAGCCTGGCGAGGGAGAGGGGGAGGAATCGAGAGTTTATAATCAACATATGTTTGATGTCTGGGTCCCTCCTGCCTTGCCCTACCCTCTTCCCGTCCACTGCATATCCGGGTCTTCGGGGGACCTCGCCCGTCCTCACACCTATTGTTTTTTCTTGTCCCCGACGCGGATTCGACCTTGCATCGACGCGGATTTGATGTGGATTCGACGCAGACTGGACGTCGATTCGGCGCGGATTCGGCGAGGTCGTCATGGATTCGACACGGATGTTACGCGGACAGCGGTGGGACGGGACATGCAAGGCCCCCCGAAGATGCAACACAACGAATTCTGCACATGCCGATTCCTTTTGCGGGCTGCAGGCGACGAGCCCGACCATCGATCCCAGGCGGTCCCATCACGATCCGATCTCGCGCCAATCCATGTTCGCTACGATCTGTTTTCCGGTCCTATCCGACTTCGCTGGTCGATCCCTCCCAGGCCTGCCTGGTCCCCCGAAGATGCAACAGGACTCATTTGGTAACCAATCATGGGAGCCTTGCCTGCCCTCGCATTCGGTCTTTAGAGTGCACTCGCGTGCGCTAGCGTCTTGCAATCGATGAGAAAGTGTCGGTCAGTATCGAATTGTGTCGATTCGCGTCGGCCAGAGTCGATTCGCAAGAGCCAGCAAGATGGCATGGGAGGGTCCCACGAGTTGCCACCGAAGATCCCGCTAGGCATGGCCTCGCACTGGGCGTACAAGGAGGACGGGCCGTGGCGGGACAGCTCCCGGGTCCGGGGGCGCGGCGTGGCCTGGCTCGCCTCCCTGAGGGAGAAGGCGCCGAGGGTGCGCCCCCCCCTCCTCTTCCTCGGGGGCCTCCTCCTCCTCCGTAGCCATCTTGGCTCAAGTCCGTAGCGTTTCGCTCAGGACAGGAGCAAACTGGCGTTGGGGAGGCGCGCCCCCGCCTGCGAAACCTGCAGCCAGTCCCATTGATTCAGTGTTTGTGAGCTCCTGCTGGACCGATCTGGTTGCAGCTCGCGCGGAGCAGGCGCCGCTTTGCCACCCACTCAGCGCATGGCGCGATGCCACATCCGTGTGCAGCGCGCCTCCGACAAGGTCGAGAAGATTAAGTCGCAGATCGCCGAGCTGGAGAAAAAGCGCGACGAGCTGCAGACGCAGGTCGCCGACAACGCCACGGCTCTCTAGGAGCAACACCAGCGGCTCGCTCAAGCTCAGGAAGACCAGACACGAGAGGAACAAGACACTAAGACGGTCTGGGCCGACACCGCCCCTGAAGAGGGGCCAGGCACGGTTGCAGCCTTCACCAAGTCCGCCAACGAGAAGGTCGAAGCCGCCAAGACCAAGTTTGTTGGCAACGTTGAGTACCAGGCCTTCATTGAAGAGATGGCTGCGCTGGTTAAAAGAGATTCCTGGGAAACCTCGTAAAGGCCAGCCGCCTCCGACAGCGAGGTCGACGGATGCACCACTCTTCGAGAGCGAATCTCCCAAGAAAGATATGGAAGAGCTCGGCAAGCATGTTCCCAAAAAAGAGCTGGAGGCTATCATCACCGCCAGGGTCCAGTATCAGGAGCAGCAGACCGACTCCGCCAAGCAGCCTGCAGCGCATGCAGGCAGAAGGGGGGCCAGGCAAGGGGCGAGGCCACAGCCCGTACAGCGGGTAGCAACCACCCCTTGGCCCCAACATTGACAGCACGGCCTACGACGTGGGCCACCTCGCCGCCAACCACATGCCGTGCGCTGGCCTCTACACGCACTTCCTGAACTCACGCTGCCCCTGCTTCCCTCGCCCAACCGCCCATGAGCACACCCGCCTTGAAACCCTCAACGGGTCTTTCTGGGGCACCCTGCAGAAGTGCCTCCTTGAGCTCGCGCGGGGTCCTGCCAAAGTTTTATTTGCTCAAGAGGTGCGCTTAGCGTTTGCTTTAAGCATTGTTGAAGCCTCCGACCGGTCGATTAGGCACAGTGGGAACAGTCGGTGGGCCTTGTCAGTTGCCACTGCCACTTTTGCCCCTTCAGCGAGCGGCTTAGGGGCGATAGGTACGTCAGCTGGAGTCGCCACATTCGTAGCCTATGAACTTGGTTGCTACACCCTGGAGGAACCCGTTGGGCCCCCTGGAGGAGTTGTTATACCTCATCGAGCCCGAGGAGTCGTTATGGAGTTCCCCCAGACCTCGGGCATCCTCTGGATTTCGCTTCATGGTAACGTCGATCATGGGTTCTGTCGAGCAAATGTTGCCATCCTGGAGGTTGTTTCCGACGTGGTGAAAGCTCCAGGGATGCAGTATATCATTGCGGGGGGCTTCAAACTCACCCAGGATCAGATTGAGCTTTCGGAGTTCAGCGCCCACATCCACGGCCAGCTGTTCGCGCCCACCTGCGCGATGGGCACATGCACAGCCAGCCACGCCGTTATCGATATGTTCACGGTCGAGCAGTAGCTCGCCAACGCAGTGCGTGCCACAGATGTGGATTCCAATCGGGATGTTCGGCCCGACTTTCCTGTCGTCCTGGATCCCCCACCGCCGTTCGGAGAGGTCTGGGCCTTCCAATTTCCTACCACCCCTTCCCTGCCTCTCTGCTCTGCGCCTGACTCCCATCCCATTCCCTCCTCCCTCTCCCTTCCCTGCCCCTCCACTCGAACGGTAGTCCTGCCTTTCTCGCCCATTTTCCGCCAGTGCCTTCACTGCCCTGCTCCCGCGACCATACGCAGCTTGGCTAAGCGACGCGTCCGCTACTCAGAGCATCCCATTTATTTCATCGATTTCTTCTTGCATCCATGTCTGTAGTTGGTAGCGGATTTTCGGCTCCAACACCGCGGCCGCCGTGCCATGTCCCGCTGCGATGGCTATTGCCCCGCCCCTCCTTCGCTGTTCGTGCCGCTCTGCATCCCGCCGTTCATCCGCTTCCATCGCCTTCGCGCACCTCTCTTCATTTGCGGCGGCAGGTGGCGCCGTCGCTCTACGGCCCGTCGGGGCGTCGGCCCATCCGCCAGAGCCGGCGAGGCGACGGGGAAGGCGCGCGTCTACTTCAATGGGGGCGCCAATGAAACCGACAAGGGGCCCGGCCGCGCCGCCCGCGACGACGAATTCCGCGGCGCGCCGGAGATTCATGGCTGGCCGCTTGCGAGAACTTATTTTGGCGCGACACTCGGGACATGCGGGCCGACCCCATGGCCGAGAGCAGCATTGGCCGGGAGCACATCGTCAACGCGATGGACAGCTTGATCAGTTACTACAACGGCACATGAATTCACCGCCGAGGTGAAGAAGACATCCTTCCCGACCTACCATCGCATGGATCTCAGACGAGATGAAGAAGACATCCTTCCCGAACTACCGTGGCTTTGGATTTCACCCAGCAGCGAAGAAGCGGCCCGTTTGATTTGCGGGCGCTTATGGTCAAGGGCTGCGAGGAAGTTGCGCATTCGCGCAAGCGTTGCTCCAGCTGGTTGTCAGATGGGCGGCAGCAGTCTCGTTTGTACTGCACCACCTGTATTTTTCTTGAGCGCGGTCAGGAGACCTCCCATCGTGGGAATTTTCCAAGTGCAGGCGCGGCCAGCAGATGTGTCGCACAAGGCGCGCGTGTTGTGTTTGAGCACCAGATTCGACCGACATCCTTGCCTTTCTCACTCGTAATTTGCCTGTGCCCGCATTGCCTTGCTTCCGCGGCCGCTCACGCTTTGGCCAAATATCGCGCCCGCTGGGAGCATTTTTCTCTCATGGTTGTTTCTACCATTTCTCTGGTCCCTTCGCTCTTCCCTCCCCCCCTCTTCGCCAGCAAAGATGGGAAGCATTTGTTGGGCACACATGTTCGATCTAACCTTGGAGGGGGGGGAGGAGGAAAAGGGTGAGGGGGAGGAGGACAAGGAGGGGACGAGAAGGAGCAAGAGGAGGACGAAGGTGTGGTGGTGGTGGAGGAAAACGGAATTAATTTGATGCGAAAACATATATTTGCTTCGACTGACTTTCGTTCGCGGCGAGGCCCGCAAGAAAAAGGCAATGCGGAGGAGGTGGAGGGGCGGAAGAGGGGGATCCCTCCTCCACCACCAATGCAGAACCGCACAATTCCGCCCCCCCCGACGCCATTCAGAGTCTATCATGGGTGGTTTCCTTCCCTTGATGAATTGCCGACGGTTCCCTGGATGCCAAAATTGATGGAACGAATCTTGTTTGTTCCTCGATTATCGCCTTCCCTTTCCTGCCTTCTGTGTCGTGGCGCGCTGTCCCCTGTAACGCACTAGCGCACTCCGCGTGGAAGGATCGGGACACAGGGGCGGACCCCACGAAGTTCGTGGAGGAGGTGCTCCGCGAGGAGCTCGGGAAACGCTGCTTCGTGTTCTTAAGATCCGAGGCCCGAATCTATCAATGCTCAGAGGAGGGGAAAACGACAAAGAGAGATATTTAATGATAAGGAGAGGGAGGGAGGAGAGAGAGAGAGATAGAGAGAGAGAGAGAGAAAACGAACAAAAACAAGAGAGAGGTAGAGAAGAGAGAGAAGAGAGTGAAGAGAGAGAGGAGAGGGAGAGAGAGAACGAGAGAGAAAGAGAGAGAGAAAGACAGAAAAAGCGAGACAGTGAGAGAAAATGAGAAAGGAAGGCAAACACACGAATGAAATACAGCTATATAGAGAGAGAAAGAGAGAGAGAGAGAGAGAGAGAGAGATAGGGAGAGAAAGAGTGGGAGAGTACAATAACCACATCAGGTACATCTACCACCACCCTTCGGGTGATACAGTAGTTGGGGGCGGGGGGAATAGCCATATGTTTGCAAATGCCATGGCTGTCATGATGACCATGCTGGTGACGCGCCCTCGATCCAGCGACGACGCGTGCTGACGATGTTGCGCTGCGGTGTAACGTCGATGTCGCGACCGTTGCTATCAATATCGCAGTAAACCTCGTTGCCGACCTCTTTTTTAACCTCACGATCCATCCCAGGTTAGTGTTAACGATTTCGTGATCGACGTCACTATCGATACCAATGCGGGACACCCCCAGCCACCGCCCGCCCATCGCCGACGACACGCGGACGCGACACCAATGGGACACCAACGGGACACCACAGGACACCACGGCGGTACACCCGGGCTCACCAGGGGCTGGAGGGACGGTCCTTTACATCCGAATCGCCCTAGCGACGGCGGGGCCATTCTTTTCGCCCGCCCACGCAGCCTTACTTCGCTTGCACGCACGACGCGAACACTATTCTGAAACAGATGTTTTTTTCGTGGGGGGGGGGTCCCTCCGTTCCATTGCGATTTCACATCCAAATTCGGATTCATATGGTTACTTCATGATTTATGAATGTTTGGAGTGCCTGTTCCCTGCCGTATTCATTACGGTTCAATTTCTTCGGTCATTTTTTGTCGATGCACCAATTCGCGGCACGCGAAAGGACCGAGTTTGCTGAGGGCATTTTCATCGCTCTGCTCGTGCGATGGGGGCAGTCAGTCGCGCCCGGCGTGCGAGCCGTGGTTGGCAAGTGGGACCTGCCCCGCGCTGGAGTGTCCTATCTGCCCGGGGTGCCAGTGCGCTCCCCACTGCCAGTGCCCCAGGCTGGGGTTGTCGCCCAAGAGTTTTTTTTCACCAGGAGGGGATCTCGTTCGTCTTCTTGCTGGACGGCTTCGTGGTGGCCGCCGGAGTGGGGTACCGTGCTGGGCGGCGCGGGGCTCAGCCTTGTCGGGACAATGCATTCCTTTTGGGATCGGCGCCAGCTCCACCTCCAGGGGCGACCGTCACCTCCACGATGTCGCCGTCAGGCGTAAGGACGGCCACCAGGCAGCGGGCACCGTCAACCAGCAGGACTATTCAGCGGTCGGGCCATAAGATTTGGGCGTAGTTGTACGTCACGTGCGCGAAATCGCCCGGCCGCAACCCGAACGCCCTCGTCACTGGATGGGCCGCCATCCCGCCCATGGGGCGGGCCTGAGCCGGGTCAGCCGCCAGGCGCGCCTGTCGGCGGGCCTCATGCACGTCCTCAAGCGTTCGGAGCCTTGGCAGCCGCGATGCTGGAGGTATCCGGCTTGAGGCATCGGTGGAAATTGAATCTGCAAGTTCAGGGCCGTCCCCTGACGGTCTCGGCGACCACCGCCCGTGACCACGCGCGCGCGCGCGACAGGGCTTGCCGGCGGCTTGTGGGCAGCTCGTGCTGAACACGCGGACCGCCCCAGCGCGGGTGGCGCGCCAGCTGCTGCCAGCGTTGCGCCCGTGGGCGGTGCTGCCGCTGGTTTGTTTCGACTAGGTGAAAGTGGCCAAGAGTGCGACAAGTGAGCACGCGACTCGATCCCCGCATGTCCAGGACGAGCGACGGCGCGACAGATCGAGCGGCCACGAGGAGGATGCGTTTGGAGACGCTCACCTGCATTACGGAGCGGACCCCGCGTGCGCCGGGGCGCGCGCCTGCCCGGAGTTGACCGAGCGAGCGGCGAAAAAGCGGCGCACAGCTAGAGGATAACGGGAAGCGGCCCGGAAGGGCAAAACGAAGTATGTCAATGCGTCGCGTGACCTGGAGCGCGGTCAGGAGCCGGAGGCAGTGTCTGAGCCGTTTTCTGAGCCGCGCAGCACTGGTTCGACCCTTACACATTTTTCGCCCTCGGCTGCAGCGCCGCAGAAAGCTGACCGCCAGAGAGACCTGTTCGCATTGCTTCCGCTGACTCGCCGGCCTGTCGCGCCGCGCTATGGCCGGCGGAGGCTTTCAGTTAATTCAGCGAATGGGACACCGCTGCGCGCGCGCGAGTGGCCAGCTCTGCGCTCGCATGCCTCAACCAGCTGCACGGGTTCCCGCAAGCCCCTTGCCGCAGCCCGCCCAGCCTCGACCCCCCTAAGCTTTCCGCGCAAGACCGCGGTCTGCACAGTTTCAAGCAGGTGGGCGCTCAGCCAGCAGATATGCCGAGTTGCAAGGGCGCCCTCCACGAGCTTCTTACTCGCGCCACTTGGCGGCGTTGCCAGAGGTCCGATCGGGCCCCGCCCCGGCGGAGTCTTGTCGATCCCCAGTAGATCGCGAAAGGCTGCATGAGGGCATTTGAGATGGCTGGTCAACACGGCGGAGACAGCTCGGTTTGCGCGAGCGGCCCCCGCGTTGATCCAGCAGTTCGGTCTCTTTCCCAATGCCGAGATTTTCATCCGCCTCCGGCAGCGTGGAATACTCGCCGGGTGCCGCGAGTCTCCCGGGCCAGAGTTTCTTGGGGCGCGCGCGCGTGTGCGCGCCTGTTTCTCCAGCGAGATGGACCTGCCAGCTGGGCGCCATCTTGAATTCTAGAGCGCATGATAGATATTTGTTCCCGAGGCTGCATCGACCCGCCTTTCGACCCCGTCTGCCCCCTCTGGCTTCGCGGCCGGCCCCGAGGGCGCACGTGGAGCCTGCGGGGCTTAAAGTTGCTCGCTTTCGTCGCCTGAGGGGCCGAGAGGGCCTCGAGGGGCTTTCTAGCCCGCCTCCAACTCTCGCGACCCGGTTAGGGCTCGCGAAGTAGAGGGGGCTCCTTCTTAGGCCCGGGCGCCCCAGTCTCCCTTCGCTTAGTGGTGCTTCCCGCGGGGCGGAGCTGGGCCATGCGCCGTGCGCCTGCGCCAGGCAGCATTTGGGCAAACTCGTTGGGGCGTCGGGGCCCAGGATGACCAGGCGACCGAGGGCAGCCTGGTTCCTCCGAGGCCCGCGTCGCCTCCTGGTCTTGCCTCTCTTTTCGCCGCCCTTTCCTGTGCGCGAATTTATGACGTTGCCCGTGTGCATCTTTCCTGGGCGCCGCTCGACCTTTTCGCTGCGGCCGCGATCAAAAAAAAACATCCCGACCAGCCTATTCAGTAACCCTGCCCATGAGAGCTGACGGGAAAAGGGACTAAGAGACATCTAGGGAAACAAAGCGAGCAACCAGGGTGAACCGAGAGATCTCTGGGAGTAAAGGGGTGGCCTTGGAAGGCTTCTTCGGGCCATCCTTGGGGGCCGCGTGGGTGCGCGGGGAAGAGGAGGAGGAGCCGGAGGGGGATGAGGACGAGGAGGGATAGGAGGACGATGACGCGAATGAGGACGAGGAGGACGAGGACTAGGATGAGGACGACGCGGACGAGGATTCATGGTATTATCTAGAGGTATTATTGCGGCTCGTGCTGCTGCTGGTGCTGTTTGGGAGTGTTTGGGGCCCTCTTGGAGCCCTCTTCGGATCATCTTGGAAACCATCGATTACAGGATGGGGGGGGTCCGCAACTCACACCCCCTTTTTAGGAACCCGCGAACTGTTTCTTGGGGCCTTCTTGGAGCGCTCTTGGGCGATATTGGAGCGGTCTAAGGGGCCGTTTGGAACATCTTGGGAGCCATCTTGAGCCGGCTTGGGCTACCTGAGCCGTCTTGGAGGTCATCTTGGGTTCCTTGAGGCCGTCTTGGGGCTCTCTTGGGACCCTCTTGGGGCCTTTTTGGGGCCCAACAGGAGCTCTCCCGGGCTCTCTTGGGAACCCTGGAACGCCACTTGGGGCAGGGGAGGGGGTAGGAGGAGGGGTGAATCTCTCCCCGAAGGGGCCCCTCCTTTTTGGGCCTCCTGGGAGGCCCTCGTCACCACTGGTGGATTCGCGTCGAAATTCTGTTCAGACCGCACCTCGGGAGAGGTCTGGGGAGCACCTTTTGTTTCCAAGGAAATGGTTATCCCAGGACCGTATGTAGTGGCAGTGGATATGATATTCGGGGGGCGCCCAATGATGTTCGCCTACACTGCCTCCCGAGGTCTTGGGAAATCGGTTCCCACAGTGGTGGTGATGGATAGATTCCTGCCTCGGATGAGAAATGGGAGGATCTTGAACCTGTCGCGCGGATGTACTGCGCTCGATGCCGCGTTCATGATCGGCGCGGAGGTGGGGATGACCATGGATTACCCTGAGGTCAACGGGGCAAGAGTCGAGCCTTCGCGGATGCTGCAGAACGGCGATTGCATTAACATCGTCACCTCGTTGGGCTCCACCCCTCGGTTGGAGTGGCTCAAGCACGCCTTCCTGCGCTCCACGAGGACGGAGATCATTGCGCACTTCCGGAAGCTGCAGGAGGAGGATTCGGGTCCTGAGCAGATCTCGCCCCCCCCCTTTCTGGTCCTCGTCCTCATCGTCGTCCCCGTCGTTTTTGCCTTTCTCGCCTTTGTCTTCTGGCTCGTCCTCCACCCTCGAGTGCGAGACGGTGCTCAGAGGCGGCCACCGTGCGAGGGGCCCGCTGGCCAGTAGAGGCGTTTGAGGAGGTCCGCGCGCTCGCCAGGCAGGCCGTGGGGAGCCACCTGCTTGGAGCTGGAGACTCTCCCAGTCCTTTGGGTGACCAGAGAGGTACCGATACCCCAAGCAGTGGCGAGGCGTCCTGACGTGCCTATATAATGGTCAAAGGACTTTTTGTTTGGGGGGGGTGCGAAATGTTTTCGGAACATGTTTGGCTGAGACCGTCTCGTCCGAAAGCATAAGGCATCAGCTATATGCTACACCTTCTGATAACATTGCTTTGCTATTCGATTGTTCTTAGTTCTAAGAACAAGTCGTGGTGGGCATGTGAGAATGCCGAAACGGTCGGTCCCTGCTCAAGAGCATGCGCCGTGGCGAGTTTCCTGCCTGGACCTCGAGATCCCCCCTCCATTGGTGGTGACTACATGGTACCGGAGCCGCTATTTTCTCGACGATCAACAACAGCAAGAACATGCACTTTCGATCTGCGCTGCAAAAACGGGGCCGGGCAGGGGTGTGGCACCGCTTCCTCCTCTGATCCTTCCCCCGCCTAGGAGGGGGGGGGATGACGAGGTGTGTATGTGTGTGTGTGCGTGTGTGTGTGTGTGCGTGTGTGTGTGTGTGTGTGTGTGTGTGTGTGTGCGTGTGTGTGTGTGGTGTGTGTGTGTGTGTGTGTGTGTGTGTGTGTGTGTGTGTGTGGGGTGGGTGGGGGGGGGGGTCTGCCGCGGCGCCGCCTCTGGCTCCCCCCCCGGCGCCGGCGCCCGCCCTGCCGCCGCCAGGATTTGCTCTGAGTGGGCCTGGCTTCCTCTCCCCCCCTGCCCGCGCCGGGTTTCCTCTCTTTCTCCAGTGCGCACTGCGGCCCAATTTGCATTTTGTGCGTCCCGCTAATGCCACATCGCCGGAGCAGTAACCTCTGCCCAGCCGCCGACGCAAAAAGTGTGTGTGTGTGCGCGTGTGTGCGTGCGTGTGTGCTTGTGTGTGCGCGTGTGTGTGTGTGTGTGTGCGTGTGTGATTGTGTGTATGTGGATGTCATGGCCACTTTGGTTTCGACTACGTTCGATCGGAATTGACACTTCATCTGATGCTCGCGCTTGACGACCCTCTGCGCCGCTGACTTACAAGTGGATGTCAGGGCCGGGGTCCGGGGTCCAGGGTAAAAGGGGCAAGGCTCCAGGGCCCGTCCCTGCCAACTCTTTCCTGTCCGCCGCTCTCATGTTTCTGTGCGGTGCGCCGCCAGTGGCTCAGGGTTGGGCTTTCCTTCCCTGGGGAGGGTGGCGGTAGCAACGAGTGTACGCCCCCTGGCTCTCGGGGTGGGTGCCTTCAGCAAGACGGCGCGCATATTGCTTCCCGACCGACCGCCCACGCCGCGCCCCCCGAGAGGAGTCGTGGAGGCAGACCCTGATCGATGTGGCTGCGGCCTTGGCGACTGTGGTCTCTGGCATGGCGGGCGCGGCCCTCGCGTTGCAGGCTCTGCGGGGGTTGCCACGAGTGGATTGCAGATCACGCGGCGTGATCCCGCGGATATGCGGCCGCACGGGTCGGAGGTGAAATCCGAACTTTGCCCTCGCCAGTAAGCGATTCAGGCATTTCGGTGGGCAGTGGGGGCACTTAGGGTTCGGAGTTCGTCTAGCACGTCTCGAAATCCGATATTTTCTCCGCCTCTCATCATTTCGGGAGAATCGATAGTTTGTGTGGGTTAGGGTTCGGATGTCGCCACCTAGCGGATACGCTCCGCGGGGGGCATCCGCGAATAGACGCCCCGCATCCGCGGGGTCGCGCATGCGGGTATATATTCCTAAACATATAATAGTGGTGTTGGGTCTTCGTTTTGAAGAGACAGTCTCCGCGTCCTTCTCTCCTCCTCCTCTTCCTCTTCTCCTCCTCTCCCTGCTCCTCCCAACCCTGCTTCTGCCTTCCGCACCAGTCAGATTTCGGCATACGCCGCGCACGCTTCGTGACCCCATGGAGAGCTCCACCGAAGGCCCCAGGGGCAAAGTTCGCATGGCGCCGCCGCCCCATGTCGGCACACCTATCAGACGCTTGGTGGTCCCATGGGGATCTCCACCGAAGGCCCAAGAGTCAAAATTAGCATGGCGGCGCCGCCCCACTTTGGCGGACCCTTCACACAGTCCGTGGCCCCATAGGGAAGGACGAGGAAGGGGGGGCGCGAGGAAGAGGGGGGAGGAAAAGAAAGAGGAGGAGGATGAGGCCAATGGCCGAAGAACAGAGAACTACTGAAACATCATTTCTCTGAGCTCTGCGAGGATGTCTTGGATCTGCGCTGGGCCCCCCTGGCGACGCCTCCGAAGCCGCCCATGGCGCGCTCCATGCGCCAGGGAGGTGGGCCCAGCGGCGCCTATCCGAGACATCCGCGCGGACCTCCGAGAAAGTTCGAGTGTTGCTAGAAGTGCCCTGGCCGGAGGTGCCCCCAGGATTTCCCGGGAGGCCCCCACGGTCTACAGAGAACCGCCCACGAGGCCAGGGGCTCCAACATGGATCGAAAAGTTGGTGGCACCTTGGGCCAGAGGCACCTTGAGTAACACCCAAGAAAAGTGTGGGGGGGAGTAGTCTATCAAGGGACATACGCTCCGCAGTTAGGCAGCTGTCATTGTTGCGAGGCATGGCCTGGCGAGAGGTCGCCGCGGAAGACATCTCGAGCAAGCTACACAGTTTGGGAAGACGCCGTCCTTCATTTGTGTGAGTGATTCACCAGGTGGAGCTCTGGTCCTAAATGTTCGGGCGGCGCCAAGGCGAGAGCCTCATCAGTGAAATGGGACCGGCCTCCATCCGAGTAACTGCTGCATATTTCTCAGGCGAGTGAACGTGGCGCCAAGGCGAATGCCCTTTTTGAAGAGGTCTGCCCTCCGTCCGTGTACTGCCAGCACTATTTCGAGACATTTCGCTCTCCACCCGTGTGGCTGCTGGCATGTCAAAATTGAGGAGCATGTACCGTGAGGAAGTCTCAAGTGACACGGCTGGCCTGCTCCAGCGACACATTTGGCGGTGCGGCAGGGAGGAGGCTTCTGTTAGCAGTAGGGACGGACAAGGAGGATGAGCAGAACGAGGGTGGTGGAGTGGATTGACAAGGGTGACGAGGAGAGGAGGAACATGAGGATCGTCTTGAAGACGACGATGCGGGGGAGGAGGATGGGGAGGCTGAGGAGGAGGCGCAGTCTGAGCGACGGGGAAAAGCCGGAGGCCTCTGGTGGTTTCTTGCGGGCCCGAGCGGACAAGAAACGCCCACAAGCCTCGATCCTCGATCTTTTGTTCTCCCATGCTCCAGGAGAGGGTGGGAAGAGTGACCTTCTATGTCAGGGTCGTGCAACGTTGACTCGGCGGCGACCCCAGCGCTGGCGTTCAGAGCTGAACGCCGCAAGTGGCATCGGCCGACATCGATCTGCGACCAATCGCGAGCCCTATCCACGCAGGCAGGTCCAATCGACGCTGGTGTATCGGACATCCCCGCTGGCGTTTCACTTGGCTGCAGACATCCTCCGAATCTTGAACCCTGGTCGTCGCTCCAGAAATGTGACCTGCAGTCGTAGGGCTCACACCTAGTTGCCGAGACACCACACTCGTGCACGCTCGACCGATCCTCAGACTTCCAATGTCTTGATTTTTCAGTACGTGGCAAGAACGAAGCATGCCCAACAATTTTGGGGCCTTGAGGTTCGAGGGCCTCTGGAGGCCGAAACTAAAGCCAAAACGGGCATCAAGAATCGGCCCTTATCGGCAGGGCACCTTGCGTTGAATCCTTTGGTTCTGGCCATTCTTAGCTCGTTTGGGCGCGCGCATCCTTGGCCTTCGCGCCGCTCTAAGTGTCTGGCAATATTCAACTCCGCCCACCCGTAAGTATTGCTCATCTGTGCGAAACAGTTCGGTATTGAATAATTTAATGCGTTGTAGGTCTGAACCCACGTGGTTCAGATATAGCCAGGACCACAAGAGGAGCGGGTGAGATGTTGGTCCCGAATCACTAAACCAGGTCTGCCGTGGTTGGTGTTCCTTCGGGTGGCGGCAGTTTTGGTCAGTGGAAATCGGGCGGGGGGCGTCCCCCGGTAAGATGCGTTTCTTCTTAAGGGTCTGGCGATAACCAGGTTGACGGGCCCGCCTTCTCCCCTCCCCTTCCCCTCGCACAATTTGACCTTTTCTCTTGCGCGGGTCCGAAGGGGTACACTGTTGGTGCGCGCGGGCATACGTCGGGCACGCGCAGAGGGGGATAGGGGGAGCGTTTCTTAGACGCACCCTTGGTTCTTCGAAGGCGCGGGCCTTGTCTGTAGATGTAGGGATGGCGTCTTCTAAGAAGCAGCCTCCTAGGACGCCCTCACCCCTCCCCCTACCCCCTTGTGCGCGCCGGCAAATACGAGGGGCTTCCCAAAGCGAAAAGGTGGGTTATTGGCCGCCGCCCCTCCCCCCCCACGCCGGATAACCCAGACTATCGCCGAACATTTGAAACGGTCTCCGAACATTTCGGTCGTAAATCATGGGAGCCTTGTGTACCTTCGTAGATCCATCTTTATCTGCGTCGATCTGCGTCTGGTAATCGCTGAGATAGCGCCGGTTTGGTGTCGACTACCCTCGATTGGCATCGATTTGGCGTCGGTTGGTGATTGCGGTCGACTAGCGTCGATTCGGAAGAGTCAGCAAGATGGTATGGGAGCCTCCCAAGAGTTGCCACAGGCATGGGCGGCTCCCATGAGTTGCCAGAGGTTGTTAGGCAACGTTTATTGCGAAGGCCTTAGGGCCGGTGCCGCCGACCCTGAAGGGAGACGACGACGACGACGACGCTGACGTTGGCCAGAGTCCTCAGGGATGGTTATGGGGTCTCTTTGGATGTCTCTCAGGAACCTCTGGGGATGATTTTTGTTGGCCTCTCGAGAGCCTCTTGGGAGCCTCTTCGGGCTTCCTGGGGACCTTTTGTGGGCCTCTTGGGGCCGAGGGCTCGAAATGTCCGTTCGGGTCCCCGTCTGGGCACGCTCTTGGAGCCGTCTTGGGTGCATCTGGGGCCGTCTTGGAGGCGTTTTGGGTTGTCTTGGGGTCCTCTTGGGTTGTTTTGGGGCCTTCTTGGAGGCCTCCCTCCTGGGCAATCTGGAGGGCGTGAAGGCGTTTCGGAACGATCGTTTGGCGATTAGAGACCCTCTTAGACCGTCTCGGCGGCCTCTTGGCACACTCGCGGCCTGTCTTGGTACTTTCTGAGGTCCCAGGGCCCCCAGGGGAGGAAAGCGTATCTGGGTGGCGACCACCCCCGGGACCCCCTCCCCCGACGAGGGGCAGACATCAAAGGGAAGGGGCTTTTTTTCGACCCATTACTACATTGTTTGATTTTTCTCTCGCTGACGACGGAGACGACGATCGACGGAGACGACGACACGAATAGCAAAGCCCCTCACACACGCCGACAGGGTCGGTGGATTTAATCACTTCGCTTATTCCGCCAGCCCATGTTGCGGACCGCGGTCGACTGGCCGAGTGGTCGTCGGCAGTGCGGAGCTGCAGGGGGCGTCGGCTGTTGAAGTTTTGCGTTCGGCATGGTGGGGTTGAGGCAGCTCTCGTGGAGCAGCTTCGTGTCAATTCGTTCGAACCTTCTGGGGTGTTATTGGGGGAACCGTGGTTTTCCAGGGGGCTTTTGGGTTGCTGGGTTGTGCCGCCTTGGGGGGCCTCTGGCGCCTTCGTGAAGGTTTGTTGCCCGTGGATGCTCCTGCGGTGGCACAACAGGCGGGGGAAGAGACATTATTATGCGATGTTGGAACCCTCATGTCGGAGGGTGGCACGCGTTGATTGCGAGCATTGGCTCTTCTCTTGTCCTGATGTCCTCTGTCGTTGCGGACATGGACAGCGGCCAGCAACATATGTACACGTACGCGGTTCGTTTCCCCTGGAGTGCGTGTCAACGAGGACGTTCGTGCAGGCAAGACCGCGGAGGGCGTACATGTACATATGTCGTTGCTCGCCCAGGGCATGAAGGAGCAGTTTCTTGTTCCTCTCCTCCTTTTTATTATCCCCCTCCTTCCGCATTGTGTTCTCGGATGTGCGTGTGTGTGCGTGTGTGTGTCGGTGTCGGTGTCGGTGTCGGTGTCGGTGTCGGTGTCGGTGTCGGTGTCGGTGTCGGTGTCGGTGTCGGTGTGTGTGTGTGTGTGTGTGGTCAGTCTGCCCTGGTTGCGTGGACCAGCCAGAGGGAGGCATATTGGGGAATGGGTGAAGGGAAGCGGGGGGAAGAGGGCGGAGGAGGAGAGGGAAGGGAGAGGAGAAGGACGAGGATAAGGAGGAGGAGCAGGAGAACGAGGATGATGTCGAGGCGGAGCCCCTGCAGAGCCCCCCATCATTGCAGACATCCGACGCCGTGGACTCTTTCAATGCGCGGCCCCCCCGGGACCTTGCGACCTCTTCGGAGGCCCTTGAGCCCATATTGTATCACTTGTGCTATTCGTTGGCGTGCTCGTGGCGAGCGAGAAGGAAGGAGGATGAGGATGAGGATGAGGATGATGATGGCGACGATGATGTTGATGATGATGATCCTGACGATGATGATGCTGATGATGATGATGGAGATGCTGCTGTTGATATTGATGTTGATGCTGATGGTAATGATGATGGTGTTGATGATGCTGGAGATGGTGATGATGATGCCGGCGATGATGATGATGAGATAATGATGCGTATGATGATGATGATGATGATGATGATGATGATGCTGATGCTGATGCTGATGCTGATGATGATGATGATGATGATGATGATGATGATGATGA